GCCTTTTATAGCCGTCATTTCCGCCGGATCTCGGCGGAACAATCTGCCTTCCCCACTCTTAGCCGCAGAATTTACTTCAAAAATTTGTCGGCTAAATGAAATGCAAATTATTTTTCCCCACCTGAGCACCTGTGCATATATATTCAAGATTCGTAAATATATATATATCGTGCAATATGCTATTTGCATTATTCTCTTAATGATCAAAAATAAACTTTTAATAAGACTCGTGATTTGCACTTCCGTTGGCGTTGACTCAACACTAAAGTGTTTACTTACACATTGAGATTATTTTAGGAAGAGTTTATTATTGGGAATTAATTAAAAATAAATGTGAGTTTAATACTAAAAATATGTAAAAATTTATAAGTTGGTAAGCCAAAAATACGTAAATCAAATCAAATTCGATTTCTACTTCTGTTCCTAATACCCAATTTCCCCTCAGTGTACCTTTTGTATACAATTTTCCTTAGCATTAAGGTTGTGACACGCACTGTCTGTATTTAGGACATGCCAATCAAAAGCCTCCAACTGTGAGTAGCTCTGCGGGAAGACCCGTATAAGTGCAGTGACCGGAGTGGGAGTGGGAGTCGGCCGTTGGAAGTCAAAACCGTAGTCTTTGTCATTTCTCCGTTTGGCTGGCTTGTCATTCCCATTTCCATTTCCATTCCTTTTACCAACTCCGTTGTATTCCCAATGCCAATTAAATGCGGCTTTCACATTGTCATCCGGCCAAGACTTTTCATATATGACAATGCTTCCCCCCCGGGCAAGCCATAATGAGCTGGCCAGCAGAGCTGGCAAGGATATCGCCTGAGCAGGCGGCCTCAGCAGGCGGTCGCATGTCCTGCCAAAGTAAATTAATTGCAGGAGAGACCCTTGATCCCGTTTCCCTACACGTGCAACTTATGTGCAAATTAACATTATCATCAACAGGGACTGCTCGCTGGCCTGCTGGCTCGTGTCCTCCGCCTTCGCAAAACACTTGCACTCGTCCTGCGTAGATTAATCGGGCTGATTAACCACACGCAGCTAGCCAGCAGGAATACTTAGGGTAACTGGAACTGGCACCGGAACGGTAACAGGAAGACTTTCTCCTTGTTGACCTCCCCCGCTCTCTCGCTGTCCTGCCTATTCATTATGCAATTATTTCGAATGACTTTCGTAAGTGATATTTCCTTGGCTTTCGTGCGGTTAGGAAAATGCATTCATCAAGCCAAACGGGAATCCATTTAGGCCAAATGGGGTTAGTGCTGTTAAGCCAGCTGAGATGAATGGGTGAATGTATTAACAAAGTGGAATAGGGAAGAAATAACATTGTTTTTGACTGCTTAATTAAGGTGACTTAGGTATTAAGTAAAGAGAAGTGATGGCCTAAGTACAAATATTCACGATATTAGTTTATTATATTTTTAAGATTTTCGCAAACTAATCTTAAATTGTATTTACTTAATATAACTTAAATACTTATCCCAATTTATGACTTAAGCAATTCATAACAAAAGCTCCTCATAAACATTTATTTTCTAACAAAAAAAAATGGGCAATTAGAAACCAATAACAAATCAGTGCACAAGCCTCTTGAAGAAGATTTAATATCCACTTAGTTGATCGTAAAATATGATAATCGCGCCATTGAAGAGCCCATATATCAGCGCCAAGTATAATTTACAGTCATAACAATTAAGTCTTAAAAATGTTTCGCATATTTCAGCGCACGACATGAATTACAGTTGGGTCAATTTACAGCCGAATTCTCTGGACGCCATACAGCCAAGTATCAGCATGAAAGGTGGCCAGGGCAAAGCACTTTCGAAATCCCGGTGAGAATTTCTGGCCCACGGGCTGAGCCAAGAAGTCATGGGCCCACGAAATCCCTTTGGGCCAGAATGCGGCTTTCTTTCGAATGCATTAATTGAGGCAGATAAAAGACAGATTTATTGTACGTGCTCGAAGGGATCGTACTTCGAAAGGTTCAAATGGCTTTTGTTTTGGGGGAAAGTCCATTGAACTTTATTGGGAAAATCTAATGATTGGTATTGGTAGAATATGCTATAATATACCTCTTAATTTAGTCACTTTTAATAGATTTTCTCATTTAGACTAACTTAACAACCTTAAGAACTATATTTCTCATTTTTTCCTTTCTCTTCTTTGAGGAAGTTTAGTTTAAGTAATGGCAGCCAGCCAGAGCAACAACAACTAGGCCAGCCTAGACCAAATAAATAAAATCTAGACAACTAAATAAATTCTAGAGAATGTGCATAAAAAATTATTGGCCGCACGCATCAACGCAATGAACATAAGTACAGTAAATATCAAGCTAAGAGGGGGAACTTAAAAAATATTTAAAAAAAACTTAAAAATAAAATATCTTTAAAACTGTTTAAATAATTAGTGAGGGATCAGGATAATAAACAATAAACCGATTTATATAGTTAACAAAATTCGTTTTTTAGGCCAAACTTGTTCACCTTATCCAATAAGTACTATTTGCCTTCTTTTTTGGCATAGTCAGTCGCTTTTTTCCTGTTCGCCTGTTTGGCAATGAACCAAAAATACGTTTTGGCCAGCAGACACTACAATAAGACCAACAACAACTGATTTGTACAGGTGCGAAAAGCCTGTGATCATTCGGAGGTGAGGTGAACTCTGTTCTGCGATCGCGTCATCTCAACGAGTGCCCTTTTGGTGGCGCCTGCTGTTGACTCTCAAGAAATCCCCCAAAAAAAGAAAACGTAGAGGAAAACGATCTTATTTACGTCTTGGGTCATTCGTTGTTCTACGAAATGGATGGCAAATGGAAGGGGAGGGCCAATGGAAAGTGTGTTTTGTATTTGCTGACCCCTTACACCGCTGCTCCTTGGCTTCTAATTATTGTTTTAGTGAACAATGCGCTTGTGTGCTTCTCTCCTGTTGTTTTTTTTTTGATGATTTTTCACTATGGGATTTTTATTTATGTTTACAGTAGTTTTGGGTATACTTAAAAATAACAATTTTCTAGTTTTTATATATTTTTATAAAAATTTTTGATTAAATATTACAATAATAGGTAGAGATTAGTCGATTTATTTGGTAAATTACAAGAAATCTTTTTTCTTTACCCAATTTCAATTTGGATTTTCCCAATGTCAAAGTTTTCTTTTGATTTGAGAACATTTTGAATGAAAAACAGCAACGGATGCTCATTGTTGTTGCAAATTGTAATTGGCCAGGGGCGGTAATATAAAAATAATTTCCTCTCGATTCTATGAACAGAGGAAAATATATAATTTGATTGAATCAAACGAATGGCCACATACTCACTTATAATTGAGTCACATAATTTGGTTTATCATTTAATGAGACGAAAAATATTTCTTTCTATTAATTATGAAGTTGAATGCTGTCAACATCATATTATAAAAATAATTAACTAACTGAGTTTATATGCATGATTACATTTTAATGGTTATTTTTTATATTTTAATAATGAATTAAAAAGTTTTTGGTAGAAGAAGACTATTTGTTTCCTTTAAAAAAATAAAACATACATTTTAAAATATTACAGATTTTACCTCCTTGTAATAGTAAGTACTTCATAGAAGTATTTATTTTTAATTTTTTAAATATTAATTTAAGTTTTAGCCTGAGTTCTCTTTTTTTCCTGATGAAGTCACCTTTGCCTTCTTTCATCTTCAACTTAATCTTCAATTACAAATATTAACTTGATTGAGATTGCTCAACGCACGCACCGTTAGGCCACGCCCACAGTGTGTCAAACACGCTAATTTACTGTTACATTATTTATACACACACACACACATACAGCTTACACATACTCACAGAGACATACATACGATGGCTATGTAGAAGCGATAAAACTGAAAGGTTGTCACTTTGGCAGCGTTAGGCGGTCGCTCGTGTTGGTTGGGATAGGCAATGGTGTTGGTAATTGGGTGGCAAGGGGGCTGGCCAAGGGGGCGATGGTGCTGTGTGGGGGGAGGGAAGGCAAAGAAAAACAACGAAGAACTCGGCGAATGGGACAACAGGGCGCATGAGCAATGTGTGTTGGCAACATTTACGAGTATTGCGAATGCAACATGTTGACAAAGTGGAATGTAATTTTAGGAAGGGAAAGATTTGTTAAATAAATTAGAATTATTAGAAATTATTAGGGTACTTAAAGAACTGCTGAAATAAAATTTAATTTAATGTTATTATTTTTTTGAAAAAAATACTTTAAATTTGTTTAATTGGCTTAATTACAAGTTGATTATAAAACGTTTTATTTAAAAAATAGCTTTATAAATATATAAAAAATTGACCATTACTACGTAATACTGCGTAAGTTAATTATTACTTAAGAAAAATGTCTAAAAAATGGTTTAATTTTAAAAAGAATAAAATTAAAAAATGAATGAACAATCCAAAATATGATCACTAAGCCAAGCATCTTAGATTGTATTTTTGCAGCTTAAAAAACTTTACTTATTAATTAAGTTAATTTTCATAACAACTTTAAACCTAAGTTTATTCAAAAATTCCTAAATATTTATGACTTCAAGGACTCGCTGCGAATGAAATCCACAAATTTTCCCGCCAATTGCAGGCCAAGCCGAAGTACCTACAAACAAACGCTGGCAGACACACACACACACACCCACATACACTCTCTAACAACAACCCCGAAAAACCACAAAGCAAACAGAGGGGTTGGGGGGTGGTGTGTTCTGTGAACAGATAGAAGGGGAGTGAGGGGTACATCCATTCGTCTGACGTTTGGTCGTAAGGCGTAAAATCTGCAAAGCTCAACACTGAGACCAAAAGCCGGTTTCCCCCAACTTCCCCTCCACCGCACTCTAGAAACCTCCCTGCCTCCACTGTTATTTACATTTTGTTTTGCCGGCTTTTCCTCACGAACCGAAGTATCCGACAGATACACGAACCCAAACGAGCGGAAAATCCGAAAGATACCCGAGCCTTTGGCCAGCGATTCGGGGCTGGCTTTATTTTCCGATACGATTCCCATCCACCGATTCAGTTGGCAACGGCCCGTACGCTGAAACGGTCATATACGCTTTTCAGTACGCTAAGAAAAAAGAAAAACCAATTGAAGAGATCTCTCAGATGTGTTTTTGAATATTTTCCCCAATATTTGGAATCCTGAGTGCCGCGAGTGTTATTTTGAGTTATCGCGATTGCGGCTAAGTGCAATTAGTGCCACAAATTTAGTGCAATGAATTGGGAAATCTATTTCTCTGGCCAGGCGCATCATTAGAAAATGAATTAAACCAAAGAATATTCTATATAAGTGCTGTAGTGAGTGTGATTTTTGAAGTGCTCAAAATTCCAGTTTGCTCTAAGGTAATTTCCTACTACCCCTTCCCTCAAAATATCTAGTACTCTAACGTCAGACCATAAAAATATGTCACAGAAAGAAGGAAAAACAGAATGTCGCGCATGTTAATTAAGAGAAGGCATAAAAAAACAGAAATGCCGAATGGTAGTGGGGCCAATGCCAATCCATCCATCACTCAATTGCCGGATTTTTCCTGCTACTTCAACCATAAAACTCTGCTTTTCTAGTCAACTGTTTTTTTAGCTGTCTTGCCTTGGCCAAATGTGCATTAATTTTCATTTCGAAAGGGAGTCGAGTGCACATGTGTTTCATTACTTTTTTAATCTTGCGTCAGGCGATAAATAATCAGCTGGCTGCGAGTGCGATAAATATTTATGCAAGTTGCCTAAACAGATGCCGCAGTCACTCTCAACCGAAGCGATCCCTCGGGCACTTAATAAAAAGATCTTTTTGGAAAATCAAACAATATTTGAGTATATCAATCTGGAAACGAACTCAACTTCCTTTCTGCTGTGAAAGATTTCGAAAATTGTTGTTTGTTTGCTTATCTTGATGCAATTTGTCCGGCCACGCCTCTCAATTAAATCGCAGCCCAAAACAGAAAGTTATTCCTTTGGGGCCTGGGGGATCCTTTGTTTTGATGTTATCAGCTGAGACTCTGCCGTTGTTGCATGTTGGCTAACAAAATAATTGACAAAACAAATCATTTACGTGGCAAAAGTTTTCAGCCCATCTCGCCCCGTATTTCTGCACCCCTTTAACCCCAGTCATCGCTTAAATTGCACACGGCGGCAAGACACGCAACATGTTTGATGACAAAAAAAATAGAGAAAATAACAAAAAAAGATCACGAAAATTGTGCAACATTCGGGGGCACTGAGAATTTCGCGCTGAAATATAAATAACAGCATAATAAGTAGACAGACCGGCCGAGTGGAGAGATAAATGAGCTGAAAGGACGGCGATGGGGCTGTGCCGAGAACAATGAAAATTGTTTTAGTCGATTTTTGTGTTCTTTCAAATTTTAGTTTGAACTGAGAAAGTGTTATTTTCGATGATAAAAAGATGAGATATATTTATATAAAAACCTTTATAAAAGTGTAAAGAAGGAAAATGCCTTTTAAAGTTGCAATATATTACTTTTTCGTATCATTAAAAATATTTACAACGAAAACAAACATTTATCCCTAAACTAACATTACTAGGCAGTCCCAAAAATCCACCAACCTAACCCAAAATCAAATTCGGTAATCAAACCAAATGCAAACTCACATTTAACCGCAAGTTAAATCATATTAGTAGCTGTCAGACCGCAAAAGGGCCCATTCCTGCGGGCAACGGAACGTGGGCTTTCCGGGGTTAATGTTTGGCTTGTGGTTCATAGTCGATTGCCTGATTTACGGGCACGCCCGCATACGAAATGCTCATTGCAATAGTCAACATGTTAACATGTTGTTAAACACACGTTGGTAAATTGTTAAGGGGGCTGAAATTTTTACGGCCCATTTTGGGCTAGAAATCCCCACATTTATGGCTATTAGATTTTCGGTTATTGCCATGCCGCGTTGAATAGTGCAATGATATGGGTCGAGTCCTTCCTCTACTAACTTCTCCCTCCACCTATTATTTCCCAATGAACGCCTAACAGCAGGCTATGTTTTTATGGCATTACCACTAGTTAGTAGATAAAACTGGAGGGGAATCAAATCAAACAATGCGTTGTCCTTGACGATCTGAAGGTGACGATTGTTCAAACAAATAGTAGGCCATATAGTTTATAGCCTCGATGGATTTTCAATTCAAGTATACGCTTAGTTTATGTTCCGGTGATTGGCTTGTGAAAAACTTTATAGCATTTTAATTGCTAGAACTTTCGATTGCCTCCGGGGTCACATGTGCTCAGTTCCTGAAACATATTCATCTCGATCGTGTTTATTTATGTGCCTCTAATTTATGCAACTAGTTTTGGTTTGCTTCGATCCCAGCGACCTTGTGATAATATTATAAAAATTTCAACAACTTCGTCGTCGTCACCTGGGCTGAAGTTTTCCCAAGAACTGCGTAAAAGTGAAAAATATAAACAAAAATTGTTTAGGGCAGGGAAAGTGTTAAAGCCCATGAGGAGACCTAATATCTATAGGATACAGATTATAATTTAAACTCCTAAAACACATTTCATAATATGATATTATATGGAAATCATTATATAAGAAAACTTTTCCAGTGCAAAGTTCACTTGCAATTTTTCCAGAAAGCTGACGCATCACAGACCCCAACCGTATTAACTTTTCATCTAAACAGCCAAAAGCCACAAAACTATTTAACATTTTGTGCAGTCAAAATGAAAATCAGTGTTTATTGAGGGGTTTTGGAGGGAAAATTCCGAGCATATTAAAGCCATCTGCCCGCGGGGGAGCTGCATCTGCGATTGCAATTCGCAGGTGTTGAGATGCCTTCTAATTTATGAGCTGTGCATAGTGGGTTAATGTAACAGCAAATGGCCCATTGCGGTTTTGAGTTAAACAAGATGGGGGTCCACCTATCACCTATAAACCTCTCACCCACTGAGGCAAGGTCGCCTGAAGTGGGAGTGGGTGGCTATACTCGTATTTACATGCTCCATTTGGCTGAAACGAGGAAGCGGACTTTTGAGTAAAAGAGTTCAATTAGAGCTTAGGGAGCACGAACATGAGGATGAGAAAAAGGGAAAACCACGTGAAAAACGGTCGATAATTTCATTGCTCCGGCTTCCCACTTGATTAGCATTCCTTTGTGGGACAGATGTCTGGGGTTATTTATCTTAAACGGGGAATAAAATTTCAATTTCAGACATTTAAAAGGTTTGCGGTTGAATTTTATAGTGCTTTTTAGGTATATTAGGTTAAATAACCATTCAATGAACTTCTAAATTATATAAGAAAGAAGTCTAGAAGAACTCTTTGTGAGTTCATAAAGAAGTTGCCTATCAAAAACCCATTGGAAAGTTCTTAACTACCAACTTTCAGCTATTAAATCTTTAAAGTTGCAAGCAATTAATTAGGAAACTAAACTGATAGCCTTGGTAATATATTCAATAAATTAGACTAAATAAATATTCATATCAAGAGAAGTTGGGGGTTCTATGCAGCGAATTCAATGAGCTTGTAATAAAATGCTGAAATATTACGCATACGCCAGGGACGCATAAATAAGTAAGCAGAACGAAGTATTTTCCGATCTGATTGATGCCTTCCTGCCGGAAAATCGTTTTGGCCAATGGCGTGAAATTCACTTTCGTTCGCTTTTGGCTTTTGTTTGGCTGATGCCATGCACATTTTCTGGCTTTTTGTTTTGCTTTTTTTTTTCGGGGTTTACGTGTTTGAATGTGCCACGGGATTTTATTGATTCCCAGCTTGGAGTCACTGCCAAGAAACAAAGACAGCGGCAGTTCTGGTTGACTGAGTGAAAGCCAAGTCAAGGCAAAAAGGCAAAAAAAAAAACACAGCGAAATAATTAGCAAGGCAGCTCGTAATGTTGGGCCATAAATCCAGAGTCTGGCATTTCGTGTCAAGGCTCTCGTCGTCGAATCGATTGATAAATTAATCAGAATTAGTCCTTGAAAGGCCATACTAAATATTTATAGAGTTCGTATTAGCTAGCTGAGCTGCCTTGTTGGGGAATTTTTCAATTTCAATTGCAATTTGAAATGTCCATCAATATGGAAGAACCTTTAAGACTAAGTCTAAACTTCAATCTCGCCATGCAAATCGCTTTTTATCTGCTATATCTGTATCCTCCGACCAAGAACGAAGCCACTTAAGCCAACTTTGGTTGTAGCTGACAAATGAAGACTGACATTTACCAAACAATTGAGCTAAGGGAAAAAAATGAAAAGAGAGATGTGAAAAACAGAAAAACCAAATTATTCCGCTTACAACTTGTCGGGCGACTGTTGAGTTTTTGAAGGCAGCTTGTTGTGATAAAGTTACAGATTTCCGCGCTTGCCAGCGTTTTTTCCCCACTCTCTGCTGAACGTGAAAGACTTAAAATAAAACCACTTAGTCGCTGAGCTCCATTTGCAACAATTGTTTGAGCCTCGCCAGCCATGATAAAGTGTCCTCAGAGACCTCAGTTACGGATGAGGGCGAAGGGAAATCCCCGAATTTACGTCAACTGCATGAGCTTTCAAGGGGAAGAAAGGAAAGATTTTTGAATAATTTAAGCCCTAGGCGGTTGCAGGGTGACAAATATGTGTTGTTTTGGTTAAAATGTTGCTGAAAGTGAAGAAAATTAACAAAGAAAAGATGTTCCAAGTTCCCTTCTAGCTTAACATAAACTACTCCATTTCCGTTTAAACTAATTTGGTTTTCCTTTTACATGGTTAAATAATTACTTTACTAAATCTTAGAACAGGAATTTCCTCTTCAATAAATTCATTACCTTAACCCTTCAAGTAAGTTTCCTTCGATGGAATTCAGAATGAAATTTATAAGAATTCCGCTGGCCAGCCAGACGTATCCGCCTCAATTTAAACAATTAATGTCAATCTGCGCCAATGGTGAATAATTTTATGCCTGCTCTAGATAGGAAATTATATTAAAAAGTAAGTTCATTCGATTTCATTAGCTTCGATCCCCTCCGAGAGCCATATCTATTTACCCAGCATTTATTTTATGCGAATGTAAATACTAAGGAAACTATGACGGTGTTTGTTTTGTTTATATATATTGTTTTTTTTTTTATTCAAAAAGCTAAACAAAAATAGGAAAAATCTTTGAACTGTGTTACAGAGGAAGGTGCTCAAAAATAGAGAGAGCGGCGAAAGATTTCGATGATTCTTTTGAGAACTACCTGGGGCGCAACTAAGTGGCAGCTATTTTAGGATCTTGGCCTATGTTTTTCTTCTTTCATTATTAACTGAAAGCTGACAGTTGGACATGTAATTGTATATAATTGAAAATGAAAAGCCTCACATAGAATCACACTCAAACACAGAAAATGCACACCTGCAATCGCCCTCGCATTCGGGCGATTTGAATGTCAGAGACTGGCAAGTTTTCAGCTTTTCAGCATCGTTCGTTGTCTGGCGGAAATTTCAACGTGTTCGGGATGTCAACATTTCCCTTCTACACTTTTCACACCCAACGATCACCATTTTCCCAAACCATTCAAATACGGAAAATGCAACAAGTTGCCAGCCAGCCAACAAAATGGCGGAAACGTGTTGCTGTCCGGCGTTGACTGGAAAATCAAAGTTATGCCCCATGCTGGGGGGGTATTCATGAATTATGAAATGCATATTTAAACGCAACTTTAAACTTTTTTATTGCCATGAAGAGGGGCACGGAGGATGCATCCTAATTGTGGAAAACTTTCGCACACGCTTCATATCCTGGCAGCCGGTCCACGTCGCACGTCGCTGTTCATTGACTTTGGCAGCGTACAAGGATGCAGGACACACAGTGTGACTTTGTTTTTAATACACTCGACTCGACTCGACTCGACTCGCCACGACTTGCCTCGACTCCAGCTGCATCGATCGACGGGACAAACAAGGCTCGTCGCCTGTCTGGTCCTGCCGCAGTTCATTACTCCGGAGGCCGGGCATCCTGGCCCTTTTTTTACACCGAACAAAACTGGAAAACTAACCTTTCATCAGCTATTTGAAAAATAAAAAAACTGTTTAACATATTTTTAGAGTTGATTCATAATAGAAATTCTAATGGTTGAAGATAATAAAAATACTAAATGAGTCTGCCAAATGTCTAAAGAACAAACTATTCTAGGAAAAGATTAAATTTACACATCAAACTAAAAATTCTGGTGAAAAATATTCAAATTTTTCTGACTGCATTACTGCCTGGCACGCTGTTATCCCGTGACTCCTTGCCTTTTTTGTTAGCCGCTGTCGATGGCTTACGTGGAGCCATGACAAAGATTATCAATAACAAGTCCAAGGAAGATACACACATGCGTTATCCCTGCAACGGATATTGGCTACGCCACAAGCTTCGCATCTCTCTCTTCCACACTGTCCATCGAATGTCCTGTCCCGCCAGCTGGCCATCCATATCAATTGTGCCTTCGTCGCCTTTGTTTGTTCAATGCAGGAACTGTTCCGTTTAAATATTCAACAGCTTTATGGGAAATTATCATTTCCTTAACAACATAAATAGCTTACTTACATGTTCTTAAAACAGAACATATTCTCTTCTTATAATTATTTCTATTAACTTAAAAGTTTATTTACCTTCACTGAAGGCTTTTCCAATTTGAGTTAAATCGGTTTGGTCTACATTTCTCTGTTTTCCCATGAACAGCCAAAACCAATATCAACATCAACGCACAAATGAAATTTTCTTTTAGCTTGGCAGTTTGGAAAACTCAACATATCCGCCCAACCTCCTCCTCCTCGTTCTCCTCGCAACTCGAATTCGCATCATAATTTGCAATGTGTTTTCGGGGCAGGAAGTTGCCGCCGCTGAAAATATGCTCAGAAAATTGATGGCATGGGAAAAAGGTGTCCGAGCTTGTCATATCCTGTTGGCATAGCCGGCAGAGGTTCAGGTGGATAGCATTCCTCCCGGCCGGAAGTGTGAAATATTTTTACTAACCTTACCTGAATTTACCTTCGCCATCTTCTTATGTGCAATGGAATTTTTGCGCTGGAGCGTATTTTATTGGCATTTTGTAGGAAATTTGTGGCCAGCTAGGAATTCTTTCCACAATTTTTCGTATTAAATTTTTCAGCTCGCCCGACGGCCACAATTTCCCTGGAAATCTCTCAATTAAGCTGAAAATCCCCACGAAAATACAAAAAAATACTCGATTTTACGTTGTGTTCGCCGTGCGTATAATTGATTTAGCCAAATTGTTAACCGCATAAAAGTGGGCAAATTGCGCGAGGCTCCTGGTCCTGGTCCTGGTCCGAATCAGAACCAAAAAGAGCTGTAAGTCCGCCGGGGAACCTTTTAATTTCACGCATGCAGTGCATAAATTTAGCATTTTGCCATTTGCATTTACATTTGGCAAGGGGCATGATTATGCGACACTTGTCAATGGATTTGCATGCCACAGCAGTTGTCCCCTCTTCGGTATTGGCCACTCTGCAGTTTTCCACTTCGGTTCGGTGAGAGGATAATCAGGGGTTAATCCCATTCACATTCTGAAAATTTGGCTATGGTTTGGGGATTTCAAATTGAATAGAATTTAAGGGCTATTCTGGCTAACTTTTAGGTACCAAATATTCATTAGAACTGTGGAATAATTTTGTTTATGGATGGAAAATACGATAATTTCTGATGAATCTTTTGGTGTTCTTGGGAAAAAAAAAAAAAAAAATTCATTATTCGTATATTGAAGATTGTTAAAAAACATTTTTGAAAACGCAAAAGAAATCAAAGTGATTTGAAGTGTAAATATTCGGTGGATGGAAAAACACCAAGCTAAAAGTCTTTTGCGGAAAAACTATTTATCTTGATATTTTGGTAAAATGTATATAATTTACCATTTTACATGTTAGATTCCGAATCAAAGTCTCGCCACACAATGTAGTAGGGCAATTGTAACTGAACATGCCGAACATTCCACGCCTGTCAACGCTTCCTCACTCAGCGGCAGCTTCTTCGCTGCATTCTAGCGCCAAAAGTGCAAATTCTAGAGGTGCAGTTCTAGAGGCTAGCCAAATGTTGCTGCTAATTAAATTGACTTCATAGGTCTGCCTTTCTCTCTTTTATTTTTTGTTGATCGCTGGCCGGGGGTGGTGTTTGTTCAAAATGTGGGTCAATTATGCGATTCGTCGCGTCACACACAAAACCATGATGGCTAAGGGTAGGGGGTGAAAAACATCCATCAGAAGAGGCCCATTGAAATGTTGGGGGAGCAAATGGAAGCACAATACGCACAGCAGGTTGTCTTATGTAATTATTTGTCAAATTCACACTGAGCACCGAACAGTGTGGGGCCATCCACTAACGAGCCACTGACACACGGTGACCGCAATGCCAACCAACCAGACGCCCCTCATAATTTCCCCGGGCAATCAATCAACAGCTGGTTCATTATGACAATCGAAATATGCTATATATATATAGATAAAATTGATCGAAAACGAAGCGTAACGAAATAAAAATATGATGTAGCCCATTGTATATGTATGATTGGTATTGGCAAATTGCTTAGTCAACCGGTCCGGGGATCAGAACTTCCGCCCGTGTCCGGCAATCGGAAATAATTATCTAAAATTTGTGACAAATGCGGGTGCAGATAAGATTAAAGTCGCCGAGCGTGTTGAATTTGCCCCAGTCGCCAAAAAGTATGCAGCAATCGAGGGGTTAAAATCCCATTCCCTTCCCCCATTATCATCACAAAATCATTTTCAACATCGAAATTTACTTCCATTGTAAGCATAAATCTCCAACACACAATGGCCCCAGCATAACTCACTTGATATCCGTCTATTTAGCTTTTTACAAACGTTTATTTTGTGTTGATTAATTAATATTACACTCTTTATTGATAAATTATGTGTTAATATAAATAAAGTGTTCATTTTTTGTAAATATTTTTCACTCTTTCATTACAAGCAATTTGGCAAAGTGTATGCATTTATTTAACATAAATATCAGTATATAAATTAACATCGAAGTAGAGGCTAATTGTGCATTTAGTATACATTAAATCAAGTCCAGGCAAATGCATTGAGTGGGAAGACCATTGATCAGACGCACATTCACACGTAACACTAACTACTATATTAATATATAATATATATATATATATAAATGAAAGTTTTTCTTTTTGCCGGCCTGCCCACACATTCCCCGATTGTTCAGATATTGCCCAAAGGCGGGGCCTTGCCTGGGGTTTTACTCCCCCGCCCTGATAAGTGCTATCTGGCTCATGTTTTTAGTGACTGTATTTGGGGTGCTGAAGGCTTTAAATCGTCTAGATTTATTTACAATTAATTTTATTTGATTTGTCATACATTTCTCGGGTCGAGCTCATTTTTGCAAACGCACGGAAAAACAATATTGTGTGCTGCTTATAATTAAGTTTTATAATAAACCATTTGTTTTTTAACATTTTATGATCTTAAAGCAAATGTTTTTTCATCCAAATCTTAAAATAAGTTTAATTGCATACAATATTTGATATATTGAAGGGTTTTCCAACTCCAACTTGAGAAAATTAAATTTTCTTTGTTATATTTTATTACCAAAGGCTTTTATATATTTTTAATATAATTCATTGTTTAAATTTTTTATAAAATATTTCTTTTAAAACGTCATTTTAATGTTAAGTGTAATATTTTCTCTATAAAAGAATTAGTCAGAAATATACTTTGAAAAATTACAAACTCAAGCAAAATAGATTAAAAAAATTCAGAAATATACTTTCAGAAATTAAAAAAATAATTACTCTGGCAGTTTTTTAAGTTTTAGTTAATTAATGATATGTAATAAAAAATTCAAGTTAAAAACGTATTTTTATATTGTCATAACTCAAACCCATGAAAATAAAATGTAAATTGGAGAAGTTAATCAATAATTATTTTTTCCCGTGTATGCCCACTATCATATATGTATGCGTATGCGTATACATATCTTTCTATCCGTGATCTGCCCCCCAGAGACCCAACCCCCCGCCCTGTGCAGATAGCTGTTGTTGTTTTTGTGGCTGCTGCTCCCCCACATAAAGCTGACAATAAAAACAAAAATACGCTCACTCATTCACACACTCATGCCGTCACATTCACACGTTAAAGTCGCAGTCACACACACAAACTCATACTAATTGTAACTGTAAGTCCGACAAAGCGAAATATGAAAATTTTGCACAGAAATTTGCACTTTGTTCTCTTTCAGTTAAGTTCTGGTTATTTTTTGTTACTTTTTTTTTTTTGGTGGGTTCAAAGTTCTTAGAGCAGCGCGCACTTGTGTCGTTTGGGACCTCGAACCACGGGACATAGAACCGAACGGATGGCCTCATCGAAGACCGTCTTCAGACCCTTTTGGGTCAAGGCCGAACACTCCAGATATTTCACGGCAGCTATCTCTTTGGCCATTGCCAAGCCCTGGGGATAGGTAATGGGCGTCAGTTTCTTATCCTTCAGTTTTTCGATCGTCTGTTTGTCGTCGCGAAGATCCAGTTTAGTTCCAACGAGAATTATCGGAACACTTGGGCAGTGATGACGCACCTCGGGGAACCACTTGGCTCTCACATTCTCAAAGGAAGCCGGATTGACCAGTGAGAAACAGATGAGGAAGACATCTGTCTGGGGATAGGACAGAGGTCGCAAACGATCGTAATCCTCCTGACCGGCTGTATCCCAGAGGCCCAGGTTGATGGGCTTGGCATCCACCATCACATTGGCCGAGTAATTATCGAATACGGTGGGTATATATTCGCCGGGAAAGGCGTTGGTCGTATAGCTGATCAGCAGGCAGGTCTTACCCACCGCTCCGTCGCCCACAACCACACACTTGATGGCCTGCATGCTGGGTAATCGATGAATTCAGCAGTTCAAGAGGTTTTTGTAGATCAGCTGGCTTTCTGGTCGATTTTCAGTAGCTTAACTGGTTTCTTTTATGGTTTATATGTAGGTAGTTAATTATAATGACTTTGTGGTAATCATTAAAATCAGTAGGTCAGCAAGGTTTGAAATTAAGGTTTAATTTTTATTAGTTTTTGTTGGTAACTTTATTTTAATTACGAGTTCAAAACAGGTAAAGACAATTTTTTGAATTCCGTAGCTCAGCAAGGTTTTCTGTTTGTATAGCTTTTGGTTCTCGCGTTGGCGTTTTTGCTTTTTATTATTTTTTTTTTTTTTTTTTGGCGATTATACAATAATTTGCTCACGCACTAATACAAATGCTACCCACACGCCAACACAGACACACATGTACAAAGAACGAGATGCGAATTCGAAGTGGAGTTTGATTTATCACGAGAGTTTTTCAATCAATATTCTTAATTGAATGCAGCACTTTGACGGCGTTCTTCCTGTTTTTGTTGATATACTATATTTATGAATTAATTGAGCCCGCATATGTATGTGGATTTGCTCAGGCAGAAACGGGGTAAAGAAACACGCCCAAACGCTGTGAAATCTTCGCGGCGAGTGAAGAAAATTTCTGCCTTTGCTGGCAGTTGTTGTACTTGTTTTTGTGCTGTAGTTTTCTCTCTCTCAACTTGTTTGAGGGCCGCCCGAAGTATGACTGTCTCGCTTGCTCGCATGCGCCAGCTATTTAAACCAAGTGCTTTGCGCATACGCTCTCCCACACAATGAGCGAGAGAGAATCTGAGGCTGAGAGAGCGAGTGTATGGCACAGTGGCCTCTTCATAAATTAGTCACACAGCACTGTGAGACTCACAGTGTGAGTCATTCTGGCGGTGACGTTAGTCGTGGCAATCCATTGGGAGCATAGAGAGTGAAAGAGAAGGTGAGAGCGAGTGTGTGGGAGGGGAAGGCTCTGTCTCTCTTCACTTGACCTTGCTTTGGTCGTTTTTGTAGAGTTTTCTATATTTGTTCGCCGATTTTCCACGAATTTTCCTGCCTATGTTGTTTTGAGCCAATTTCCACGCGACTGGTTGAGGTACCATCAGAGCTGAGCAGTACCTAACTTGCGTACTCACTTTCTGCTGGCTTATCTTGGTACAATAAATTCTTAAAGCCACACCAAAAGTAATAATAACTTTTATAGTACGAGATAATTTCTAACGATGAATAATTTATATTCTGTACTAAATGTTGTAAAAACTTTTTAATATTTTTAATTTAATGGAATTAAATAAGTTATTATGTCAACTCTCAATTTATTTGCCTTATAATTATACCCCATGGATTGATAAATAAATCAGTTTTCCATCACTAAACCACCGAATGCAAACGATATTTGCTGCCGTTGACTGTTTTAATGGACCACAAAATTGCGTGTGTCGGCAAAAACCAAAGCTGAAGGAATAATAACAAACAAATACCGACGGACAAACGCAAACACAATGCATAATATCGACAGTAAAAACCGAAAACCAAAAACAGAACCCAAACCGAATCCATCGCATCCGCATTCAGGCTAAAAGCGATAGTCCAAATTTCGTTGGCTTCCGCTTTTCTACCCTTCCTTCGCCAACCCCCTTTGCCACGCCCATTTCTGCATTGATTTTCACATGGAAATGTTTAAAAGGCCACCGAAAACGGCGGAATATTTCCGCATTTAAGTTAATTTCTCGCACTACCGATGTTGCTGCTGTAATTGGATAATTAAATAGGCGCCACAAAATTTGCTCTTCAGCAATCTGAATAATAATAACCAGCACATGAATATGAATTTCAATAATAAACATTTTCAAAAAGTTTTTAATGGAATTTATTGTAAAAAATCCGCAACAATTAAATTGCCAATGAAGTCCGTTCAAGTGGAATAAATGTTTCTGTTTCTGCTTCTGTTTGTGCGTGGGTGAATCATTCGATTTGGTATTCGATTTCAAGTGGATGGGAGGTGCAAGGTTATCTCCAGATCAGGGTTTATAAAATATATCAAAGGGGGTGGGCTGAAATGCAAGCATTTTTAATATTAAGTTACAGCGTAATTTAGGCGATTCACCAATCGCGTTCAATTAAGTTGAAATGCGATAAGCGGCAAAAATTGCTTGGAGCACCTGATCTATCGAATTATTCTATATATATTTCATGAAAGGAACCACCTCCCAAAAGCTTTAAATAAAACACATTTTGTTCATTAGTTCACCTATATTTTCTATTCCTTAACGCCATCACGACTTGCTTGTCGTACACCTTGGTCTTTTGGCCACTGATCGCACCTTCCGGCTGGCTGCAGGGACTTTCTGCTGCCTCTTTTTCCTATGTAATTTGGCCATACCGCACTGCAGCTTAGATGTTTTGAAAGCCCTTCGGTGATTACTTCTTGTGCTGGATGCACAGGGCATTCGTCGCACAGTGGTCTGTTGAGCTGACAGGACATCAATGGTTAGTCTGTTAGGTTCCCCAAATCTGGCAGTCAGATAGGAGTACTCCTCGAACAAGCACTTCTCTTCCAGGCTCAGCGCTCGCCAGGCATTGGTTGCCTCTTCTAGTAGGGTCACCGGAGATATCAGGCTGGCATCATGGCATCCAAGGCGGTATTCCCGCAGGAAGTTTAACGGGGCGGAGCGGCTGATGAACACATTCGACGTTGAACCCATGCAATAATCCATCATTTCCATAGCGATGTCAGGAATAGAAAGGAATTTGGCTTCGAAAATGTGCAGTCAGAGCTAGTAGTTACACTTAATTTAGATTCAGAACTTATCTTTGGGTATAATGTGTATTAAATACTTTCTTATACAAATTTAGTTATATCAAATGGCGAGTTGTTAAATGAGGTACTAAGATTTACTATTGCTATAAAATTAAGACAACATAATACGCCAAAGTTAAAATTTTGTAAAAATAAAATTTCAAATATTTTTCGTAAAATTAGGTAACACTTTTAGTTGGAACTTTGTATTTGTGTTTACTTCTAGGAATCAGTGTAGTAACTAAGGAATTTGGTAAACAAGCTTTACTGATATGGTTTGAAAGTAAATTTCTGGCTACTTGGGTCAGGAAAAAGCCAACTAGATCGATGTCAAAAATTTTCATATTTTTATACAGTTTGTGTGGTGATAAACGTCTGAAATTTCAATTGAAATGCAAGTATCAACCGCTTTGCATTAATCGGGTAATCGTTGGCATATCCAGGCCTTTATCCTCATATCCTTATTACGACGTGTCCATTACAGAGTGGAAAACTGTGCAAATAATTAAAGCCAAAGAGCGATACGAGTGACAGCGAGTGCAACAATTATTTGATTACTGTCGCCGGGACTGCCAGTTCCCTGTTCAGTTCCCTTTTGCCACGTAATTGGCGGAGTGATATATATATATAGATATTCATATATGTATGGATATAGCAGCTCCCCCCAAGTAATCGATCCAGGAACTCCATAGGAACAGCTTGCTGGCCATTATGCAGCGGGCTATGCATAATTGTTGTTGCTGGCCAAGTGGCAGGAAAATGCATAACAAACTGAAAAATATTCAAGCCATTTTTATTGCCACACCAGACGGACCGCACACCAGAGATATATATATATATATATATATTTATATACATATAGGGACTGGCGATAATGAATGAATGCGCGCTAAAGAACCGCAGTCTGAACCGAAAAGGGCGAAATAAAACAAATAGTGAAACTGCAACTGCAACAGCAAACAGAGGCTACAATAACAATAAATTTAACACTTTAACGGTCGTCCGTGTAGCGGCTATATTTAATATCCCAAAATCGCATTAAATTATAAAATTACAAAGGGAACAAATTGTATTAGAGTGGTGTGTAAGTTTAAATTGTGCTGCATACTTTTAGGCTGGATTTACTAAGAGTGTAGAGTTTATCTCAAAATATCGATAATAGGGACTTTTAAGTTTGTATACTTCATAGCTTTAGCGAAACTTTTTAGATGTTACAAATCAGTTTGTTTAACTTATACATTCTGATTTCCATTTGATATAAATTTAAACCGTGTAATGATGGTTGCTTACACTGAAATTAATTAATAGAATCCTTCTTAGTAAGTAAATAAGGTGCTTGTTATATACTTACAGTATTTCACACCGGTTACCTTCCTTATCCACTCTAAGTGATCGCTGACCCGGATGTGTATGGAAGGTAGATCACGACAAGTGTCCGTCTTTATATATATAATCCCAACAAAGATGGGTTGTTTGTCCATTGTGACCACTGAACCGCCTATGTCCCCTTCACAAGCTCCCACGCCGCCTTCACCGGAGGTGCACATATGATAAGTTTCCAATTTTCTATATATCTTCTTGCATTCCTCGTTCGACATGATCGGTGCCTGTATGCACTGCATCCATTCCGGAACCCTGCCGCCTGGCTTAAGAAATCCATAGCCGCATACCAAGGTCATATTTCCAGTAAAGCGATTAAGAGCTTGCGAAAAGCCTGGCATCCGGATTTTGTTAATTCTACGGTCGAACTTCTGAAACGGGCACTTAACCAGGGCAATTGGTCTCTTTTTATCAGGGTGAAAGTAAAAGTTTTGTCTGTAAACTCTTTTCATGTCGAAACCCCTATACGATCGCCTTGAGGCAAGGTGGAGCTCAATATATTGATAAACTAAAACTTCTCTGACCGTAAGAATCCATTGGGTTGATATTAATGTCCCGGCACCATATTTAATTGACGATCTTAGACTTCGGGCGTAGATTATTCCAACTAGATATATAACCGTAAAGATCTTGGCTCTATGGCCGCCTGCGATTCTGGGTCTCACTTCCACTTCTTCACCACTCGAAATAACTATTGATAGAGCTAGCAACGGCACTGCTAGTTTCATTGCTAGGCTGTACTTCATCGGACTTCTAACTTTGAATTCTATTTAGTTACAGACTCTGTGATCTTCACTACAAAAAGCTTTTATATATATATGTGGGGTGTGTCGAAGCAATTTGCTTAGTTATTTTATTTAATCAGTGTGACTAAGCGCTAAATTTACGGTTTTCTAGGTTGAGGTTTTCTCTTTAAATATAAGTTTTATTTTAACAACCCTTATCGGATGTTTATCTTTCCTTTTTATTACATTTTTTTTAAGGTAAGACTTTGGAAACTGTTAATATCTGCCGGTAATTAATGTTTTATGATCAATCCACAACATTGGTATATTTTAATTTTAAAGTGCGAATTCCTTGGCGATTTAATTGCTTAAATACTTTTCCGATTTTCCCGTTTTTCACTTTATCCGTTTGCAAATTTAATTTATTTAATGAGCAGCGCAATAAAACGCATTTACTGTCAAGTGATAAAATGGTATTCCAGCTTCGTTTTTCTTTTTTTTTATCCCGCGTCTCACCATTACCACCCCCCCCCCGCCTGGCATATTTTTCATTTATATGTGGTCCACATGTCAGTAGCATTTTCCACCCATTTCCACCAGCCTGTTGACATGCAGCAATTATTAACTTTTGTGCGGCTGCTGCCATGGCGCCGTGTGTTTGTTATTAATTTCTTGTTATTTATGCAAATAGTTGGCACTTAATACGCCTGTAAATATATTTAAATATTTGTTTCCTTTATTTTTTTGTTCTCGCTATCACTCCCTTGCAAATTGCTTTGTGCATTACAGTAGATTAACAGCAAACAAAAGGCGACACGTTTTCCGCTTAACTTTGAGTTTTTTTTTAGGAATTTTAAAGTTTTTAGGAATTTCCTGGCTTAGATGTCCTCAAAGTTGAGTTGGTTTCAGTCTGGTCTGGTCAGAGTTCCATAAACTCAGCGGAGTTATCGCCAGCAGACGTGAAGTCATCTTTGGGCAGAAGCCGATGCACTGAGAGAAATATGTAAATATTTTTCTTTCATAAAAACTTTGAAAAATTACTTTGCAATAAAGCCATTTCTTAAATGGAAATGTAATGAAAAAATTTTAAAAATTTAAAAAAAATCAAAAGTTTGTAAATTTATAAAATCAAATTTCCCAATAAATTTCTCTCAGTGTACGCATATGCATTCCATGCTTTTTGGATCGGTTTCGGTTTGGCCCGACCGGGGTCACGTCTGCGGGTCCTTGTTGGCTTGGTCTGCCATGTCCTGGTCCCGACTTCGTCCTGTTTGACTGCTTATGAATAAAGTTGTTTGCTGGCTTGTCAATACACACATGGCATCATCATCATTCTCCCCACTCCTACGCCACTACTCCCCCACCCACCGCCCTTTCAATTGGGGTTATTTGTCGCTCTATCTGGCCCAGATCAGTGGGTAGAGAGAGCCCCTTTTGTTGACTTTTCGGCTTTCAATGGGCCACGACGTCTATTCATTTTTTGTGCTGCGCTATTAGGGTTGCCATCAACACCACCACCCCGTTAGCCCCGAGCCATTTGAAATGAAAAGTTGTCTGCCACATAAACATATGTATAGGCAAACATACATACATATGTAGAAATGGAAACAGAAGACACAAGATGATGATAGGTAGGTAGGCAAGTAAATAGCAACAGGCGTGGTGACGAAATGTGTCCTTTGACATTTGATCGCTCGCCTCCGATAATCCTGACAGCATCGCATCGTTGGCTCTTCAACAACTCCGGCAGCTTAATGGCTTGCTGCATTATTTATAGCACGTCGAGGTCCCATCAAAACGCTTTAACACGAATTGCTAGTAGGGGGAAAAAGAAAAAAAAACTAAGAGAGTAAAATACTTGGAAAAGGCACAGCGAAATGTAGTCCACAGAGTCATCGACTTTAAGCCGTAGACAATGCGGGGCATTAGGCATCCCGATTCTGAGCGGATGCAGCAAAAGTAATTAAGAAGTTTGCGGTTGAGTCTATTAATTAAGTTGAGAGGGTTGTCTATGAAAGTAGTTGAAACTATTTTAAGGTTGAAAATATAAACAACGTTCTTAAAAACCTCAAAAACTGACTTAATCCTACATTTATTTTTAATCTTTAAGTAATAATTTTAATTTTTAATACTTTGGGTGAGCACTTACCCTTTTTTAGGGCATTAAATCTTCTACTTTAGCAGAAAGCATCTCCTGTTTGTGTGCCTTTTCCACACTCAATTACAAAGTTCAGCTCACATGTGCAGATTCCCTCCGCAAGGAGTTTCCCTACCGTGTTGGCATCCTGAAGTTTAGCCGGCTACGACTTTTACTTACTCACTTGCCGAGTAGCGTCTTAATTTACTTTTGCGCTCAGGCGTCTGGAAAATAAAAGTGCAAACGGTGGCAGCCTTTTCTTTTGAGCCTAAAAAAGCTTGCAGCACTCCAAGAAGAGGGGGCGAGCAACAAGGGAATGTAACTACGGCAATTTCCTGCACATTTTCTAGCGGTTGAACTTGGGCTGTCGACTTGCTCCGTAGTGCAGTTAATTATAATTAAGCCGAGTTAACTAACCACTTGCTGGCACTTGAGAAACTCTACTCTACTCTACTACACTACTCCATAGGATTAAGCGCAGACACCTTAAATATGTCAGATGCTGTTATTGTTGTCTTAATTAAAGTTGCGTTCATTAAAATGCCAACAGCGCCGAAAAGTAGGCCACCAAATCTGTTGCATATTCAAACGTTTATTCAATACGCCTGCACCAGGAACCGTTACTCAACGTGGTTGTTGCTATTGTTGTGGGGATATTCACAATGACGAACATCAGACTTCAAGGAAGCTGTTATGGCATGCACAGCGGGAATTTCAGATGGGTTTATGTTAGGTTAATTCTGAAAAAAAGTTTAGTTAGTAACTAAATGCTAAGGAAGGACATGAGCGTAAGTAACATCCCTTCAATAATTTAGGGTTTCATATAAAAGATTCTAACTGAGAAGTTCTTTCAATCTTAAACTTATCATCTTATTATATCGACCACTTTTATTTACTGTGCACTTTTGCCATCGGCGTTGTTCCTTCTTCATTTGCAAGGACAATGCGACACAAAAATAGAAACCGTTGGATGAGTGAATGAATGCCTGAATGGGTGAATGAATGGATGAAAAACCAGACAGAAGACTGGCAGGCAGGAATGCCATTATAATAAATAAAGAGCCTTTCACTCATAACTGGTGCACAATGCAGCCAAAGCCATGAATATCCCAACTCCTTGTTACTCCTTTTCTGGTTGTGGTTCCTCCGTTTGATTTATGCCAAACAATGCGAAAACCCTTTTAATAAAACTGATGGCTGAAAGCTGTAGATACCGATCAATGAATATTTACCAACATTATACAGCCGTCAGTAAATTGAAATAGAAGTTGAAGTTGAATGTGAAAATGTCAAGATGTAAGGATCTTTCAACACTGTAAGGTTATTTTGTTAACTATTTTGTTCTACTTACCATATCAGCTATCACTCCCTATGTTAGATTCATGCCGAAGCGAGAAAAGCTTTCACAATTAACACCAACTGGCGCGCCCATAAATCCGCAATAAATTTTTCAGGGTGGGGATTGCATAAAAATCACATTAACAATTTGCTAGTACACGAGTATTTTATTTTTATGGCTGCATGTTTTATTTTTATTTCATGCACGTCTTTTGTACATTTTAATGCCCTTTGCCACCCACACTCACACTCGCACTATGCAAAGGAGCCACACACGCACACATTCAACACACATGTTGCCACAATGGTGTTGGTGGATGGAGAGGGAATGCCAGACAAGGAGGCACTGCACTGTTGCCATCGAAAGCGCAATAAAAACGCTTAATTTTTCACTTTTACACGAGTGAGAGCAAAGTTTCTTTTGTTGTTGCTGCTTCACCACCTCCTCGCGTTTTTTATACGTTTTTCTTCTCCTCTTTTTTTCCAAAGGAAGGATAATGGGCGAGTCCTTGTATGTGAAAGCCATTTGAAAGTTATTTAATTTAATAACAAGCTCAAAACATGTTTCCGGTAAAAGCAAAATAACATAAAGAGGCAATCGAAGGGGAAAATTGATATAAAATAAGGGGAAAATCCTTAACATTAGAAGAGCTCTTCATATACTATAGATATAAATATTAAATATTATATTGCCTTTATATTTATATAAATATATTGCCTTGATTAAGCCACCTTCTTAAAGCAGATTAAAATATTAACCGATGAAAGAGTTTTTTCAATTAAAAAGGCATTTCTGCATTTTAATTGCCTGGCATCAAGATAAAAATCCCCAAAAAACAAAAGCGAAAAGCCCAAGCCAAAGTATAAATGAAACACAAATACGCCCGTTGATATCCATTTGATTTTTAAGCTCGCTGACAAACAACAAAAGTAAACAAAAGTGAATGTGATTTTTATTTATTTTTCGGTGCGTTTTTCTCTTATTTTGCAGATTTTCCAACGATACTGGACAATCTGCGGCCGCTCACAGATTTGGATTCGTTAAAAAGTGAAAATTCAGCCGGGAACTGCGAGGGAAAAACAATCCGACTGCAAATGCAATAAGCCCTCGACAAAAGCCCCGTCTAAACCACAGCCAAAAAAAGGGGGAAAAAAAGAAGATAAAACGCAGCATCGAAAACGAGGACAACAGGAGGGTTTTCGCCAGGATTGCGTTCTTGTATTTTGGACACACGTGCGCCGCGGCTGCGCCCGTGCCCGTGTCCTTGGCAGGACCTGTGACGTCGCCAGTTGGCTCCGGGTCCTCAATAGCCACCATGAAGCTGTCCAAGCTGTCCAACCAGACCAACTCACAGGATCCGCAGGCGGTCAACTCGCGCATCTTTGTGGGCAACCTAAATACCTTCCAGTGCTCCAAAACGGACGTGGAGCGCATGTTTCAGATCTATGGCCGCCTTGCGGGTAAGTCCCTGACATCCAACCAAAAGGGCTTTCTTCTACAATATCTGAATATCTCCTGCAGGCATATCCATGCATAAGGGCTATGCCTTTGTGCAGTTCACCAATCCATTCGATGCCCGGAATGCCTGCCACGGCGAGGATGGCAAGACGGTCCTTAGCCAGACATTAGGTAAGGTTTTACGTCTTTGACTGCAGGCTGCATGTGATGGGTGTTCTGGAAAGCTGATCTTTGATCATATCTTTCTTTATAATTCGTTTTTAAATATATTCTTTACGTACTTAGTAAAAATCCTTACTAAGGCAACCTTAAATCTGTGCAACTTCAAGCGGCCTTAAATTCGCTGCTAACGAAGGCTGCTGGTTTGCATAGACATTCCAGACCTTAACCCTCGTTCTTGCCTTGGCCCGAGTTGCATGTCCATGGGATATCGCCAGTATAAAAGGAGTCTTGTAGTTCGCAGGGGGGGTAAGGGAAACGTCAGGTTAATGGCCGCCGGCAGCGGAAGCGTTGCACTAAAATCGAACAAACGCGCGAAAAAAGCCACAAAGGCGCCGGGTAGGGAGAAAAAGATGGTATGGCTTGTCCTGGCTTATGGCTTACATACTCGTACATACATAGTATGCAATGGTAATGAAGGAGAGGACCCAAACCCATGATCCTGGCATGTGTAGTGGCCATATCTCTAGGCACCCGCCGCACTAATGTCTGAGTATTTCGACGGGGCGGAAGTCGCTGCCTACCGCAAAAACTTAAAGTGCGGCCGACATAAATCTTGGCACGATACTTTTAATGAAATTTCAATGTTGTGCCAGACAGTCGACGACTGTCTTTTGTATCTGCCCCTCCCCCCCTTACTGACTAACTACTCACTACCTACCTCCTACCTCCTTACTATCTGACTATCTGACAGTCGTCTAGTCGTTCGTTCGTTCGGCGTTTAATGAAATAATTCAACGCCAGTTGCAGCTGCCATGTTGACGGTTCTGCGAGTCTCTTTCCTGGCTTTTTTCTGTTGTATTTTTCCTTCAGTGCGTGTCTCGTGTGGAGAACAAGTTAATGCACTTAGTGCTCTGTGTCAGCTGATGATGCTTCTGCTGCTGGCGGCAAAGGGGATCCGGATGCGAATGCTTCATATTCGCCCCGGAAAAATAATGGAAAATTCCGTTGCTCTCATAAAAAGTACTACCGCTTATGCAAATGCGAACTGCTAAATGTGAAATGCTAATTCCACTGATTAGGAAAAGGAAAACCAACAACCAAGTGGCCGGCATAATATTTCATTGCTACGCGCCATTGACTTTGAAGCGCTGGGAAATGCAGCCAGGCCGCTACTAAAGCGATTTACACTGGGGGAAATCTGGGGGGTGACTGGCTGGCTGGCTGGCTGGCTGGCTTGCTGGAACTTGTGCAAATCCTTCTTACGCTTTTATCCTTAATCTTAATTATAGCCTGCCAGCCCAACAGTCGGACAGTGAGGCGGTAAAAAAGAAAACAAAAAAGCCAACAAGGAAATAGAGCAGCTGAAAAAAGAAAGTCTCAAAGCCATCACGCCCGCTTTTCTTGTAGTATTTTCTTTTTTTCAAAAACCAAACCCACCAATTTGTAGATAGCTCTGAATTTTCCTCCTCCTTATCCTATACTTTCCATGGGTTTGGAGGCGCAGACGTCGCACTTCAAACTTTGTCATGAATTATGATGAACGAGCATGGGCTGTGAAATCCCTGCCTCCTGCGAATAGCTTTCCGCAGAAAAAAGGGCTTTGTCGCACCCTTTTCATGGCAAAGTCAAATGCGGTTAGCCTTTAAAATGGCATTTGTACACTCTTTATGAGTTTAAGAGAAATAAATACTTGAAAAAAGTGACCTATGACTAAGGTAATGACTTAAAGAGTTTAGAAAACCCACAAAATCCTTTAAAGATATAAGATATTTCCTTTTCAAAGAGCATTCCCCTTTCGACTATCTTTAGTTTTTAACCCTTTATCATTGTTTTTTATGCATAAACCAGAACTGACAACATGAATTCCAGCTTTGGCGCACTTTTATTAAGATTAATGATCGGGGTGCAGCCGGATTGGATTAACCATGGAATGCAGCTGGCCAATGGACATGCACATAGGGAAAAATAAACATTTTTAATCACTCACAGCTCGTCCATTCATTTGGCTAATGAAAGGAGTTGGGCTGCCTTTGTAGGTCCCAGCTTTTTGTTTAGGGCTTAGACAATGGCTTCAAAGGACACGGAATTTTTGTATATTTTTATATTTTTGGGGCCCAAAGCAGCAGATTGCCTTTTGTCATTAAGAATTTTCTCATTTCCAATTCCCTCTTTCAGATGTCAACATGGTGGCCGAACCGAAGGCGCATCAAATCGGAAGGAAACGTCAGAATGTGAGCAAGACCGGAAACGATTGGTGAGTCTTAGGCGGGATTACCAAGGAATTCAACTGGAATTCTAGTCAAGTTTTTGGCTCATTTCAATTTTAATCTAAAAGTTAATTTTGCTCAATTTAACGCCGCCATGTGGCCGCCCATTCACTTAGACTTTATTTACATATCATTTAACGGGTGCGGGGGTTTTCCGGGAGCTTTTCCGGATTGCCACACAACAAATAAATAAATAAATAAGAAACCATTCATCAGGCGATGGGGTCGCCCTTTGTTTCAACTCCCGTCCGGCATAAAATATTTGGCTGTCAACGGCTAGCCGGGTTCCCTTTTTGTTTTTGGCCGAAACCAACCGGAACACTTCAGGCCAAGTTCTCGTCTCCATTTCTCTTTACTTTTTCGCCTGTGAGGGTCAGTTGGTGTTCGAGTGCTGCGTCAACACACACTATATAGGTATGTGTTTGGTATATGGTATATGGCACGGGTCGTATCCTGGTAGTGGATCCTGTGAGTGGCAGTTGCAATGTATGCCATAATGTCCTGGCGCTGACATGTGCACTTGTTTGTCTTTGTCGTGGCGGTGGCAGCGGCGGCGGCGGCAGCCTTAATGATGACTGAGCGACATTCAGAATTTATTTGGGCCTTGAGCTCCAGACCTTCCTGCACTCGTGTGGAAATATTTAATTTAAGCTTAATGACGCCGAAACGTTGGCTTTAAAAAGGAAACACAGCGCGTACGGCCCAGGAGTTTTTTGGGTGCTGGAGGGGGAAACCCAACTGACATCGACTTGATTGTAATTAAAACGCAAACATGTCAGGCCCCCCACCAAGCTCTCTATCGAAAGCCATATATCCAGGTGCTCTTGTGTTTGTCATTAAACGGCTGCTCACCTTTTCCACCCGACCCCCCTCCCTCTGCCATTTTGACCACACACAAACTGACCGAAAAAGCCGCAATTGTTGCACCCCGCCTCCATGCCAGGATCAGTCCACTCCCGCCACACACTCATCTGACCACAATTGGTTGGCTTCATCGGAAAAGGGAAAGAACGGAGGGGGCTGTGTGGCATTTCCGTCCTGTTTCGGCATTTGTATCAATCACTGGCAACATAGCCCGGCGGGAGGCCCAGCACACAAGCACAACTGCCAAATGACAATTCAAACGGCGGCAATGTCAGCCTAAACAAATATTGACGGACTGATGGGTTGAGGGTTATGGAGGTGGCTGACTGACAGCGAGGTTGGGCAACAGTTGGCAGGCTGTTCATTTCCAGTTAATGAGGGGGAAGTTTGGGAAAGATTGGGAAAGAAATGGATTTTGAGAGTGTTACTCCATTTCCGTAGATTGGGTATTAAACAGTCGCCGAAACTTAACTTTTTGTCGATTTTTAAGCATCGTACTTTTAAGGGTTAAAGCCCGCCGACACTTCAATTAGCGAACAAATATTTGCTAGGCAGATTAATACCCCTGAATAACCTCTCCTGTTTTTCTCTCTCTGCAGGGACTACTTCTACGACAGCTACTGCTCTTCGGCGCTGCTGCGGGGTGGCGGCGTCGTTGGTGGGGGCGGTTCGAATGGTGTGCGGGCCAAGAAACGAAAGCGTCTGATGACCAACGGCGGCGGTCTAGCGGTGGCCGTGCAACAGCAACAACAGCAGCAGCACGGCCAGCATCATCACAGTGCGGCCGCGGTGGCTGCTGCTGCAGCAGCTGCCGTCCATCAGCAACAGCAGCAGGTGCAGCAGCAGCAGCAGCAACACCACCAGCAACAGCAGCAACACCAGCAGCAGGTGGCTGCCGTTGCCATGGCGGCAATGGCCAATTTGTTGCCGCAGCAGCAGTTGCTGCTGCATCAGCAGAATCTCCTCTCAAATGCGGCAGTGGCCACAACGGCAGCAGCGGCTCCCGGAACCCTCCACTGGTCGCAATACAAACAGGAGCAACAGCACCATCCACATCAGCATCACCCGCACCACCAGCAACCGTTCGGATTCCAGCTGAAGAGCAATGTGGCTGTCCAGGCGACGACATCGCCGCAAAATGCAAAGTCTGCAATAATTGCTAATCAAACGGCGCTCGGCGAGCCATATCCGGTTGGAGCCGCTGCCTTCGCCAGCCATCAGCAACATCAGCAGCAGCAGCAGCAACAGCAACAGCAGCAACATCAGCAACCGTTGCTTCAACCGTTGACTCTGGCATTGTCCCCACAGCAACCGCAGCCCCATCAGGCGGCAACGCCACTACAATTGCACAGCCAATTGATGCAGCAACATCAACAGCAGCAGCAACAACAACAACAACAGCAGCACCAGCAGCAGCAACATGCTCAGGAGCAATTAAGTTTGCATCAGCAATGGGGACCATTCAAAGTCTACAGTGAGTATTGACTCGAGTTTGCTCAGAAGGATGCCGGAAAATTGAGAGAGAGTAAAGCCGGAAAAGTATATTTTAATGATTGTCTGTGGTTTTATCTTGGGAGTTATCAAAAAAGTACCACTAAGCCTTTAAAGGGTAGTAAAATAGTGGTCAAGACTTCTGATATTTTAACCTTCTTAGGTACCATAATATTGAATATTTCCAAAAGATTTCCATCTAGTTTTCCCACTTCAAGGTGTCAAATATGTTGTTGCCTGACAACGAGGTCTCTGAAAATGAGAAATGTGTCAATGGGAAGCGCGTTGCCCAGCTCTCATCTCCTTTCTCACAGTCATTGCAACCGTATTGACCGTAGCCCAGGGTCAACAGCATAAGATGTTCCTGACCGTGGATCAATCCCAACCGCCACAGCGCCTACCGCCTGATTATGTGAAGGGAGTACTGAGCCTGAAGAGCAGGCTGCTGTCCAACAAGCCGGTCTTGGGTTACTCTGCTAATCATCTGGTTGGTGGTAATCCTGTTCCTGTTCTTGGAATCAGACCCGATATGAGGTATTCGCCCCAATTAGAGGTACAGCAGTCACAGAGTCCGCAAGGCCAGCCGCTCCAGGAGATTCAGGTTGAGCCCGTTGCCAGTCTGAGGCCATCTCTGCTAGCTCACAGACCTTCTGTTCACTCCCAGATGCCGTCGGTGAAGTTGAATCGTTATAGCCAGGAGTTCCCACCAGCCCACCTATTCCAGCCGCCCTTTGTTCCGATGCCAAAAAAACAGGAGGCACAGGATCCGCCGCCAACAGCCGAACAATTGGAGTTGCTGCAACAGTTGTCCCAGTTTTTTGGCCAACGGCAGCCAGGGCAACAACAGGTGCAATCGCAGGAGTCGGTGGTCGTGAAATGCGCTCAGGAAAACGGCGAGGATGGAGGTCAGTGCGGCACTGAAACGACTACCGAGTGTTGTGAAAACACAAAGGAACCCAACAGGAACGCAGAGAAGGATTCGATTACCGTCGATGTGAAGAACAAGGAGCAGGAAGTGACTACCACCAGCACAACAGCAGCGCCGAAGCCTCCGGTGACCGCCAAACAAACAAACGCCACCAAGCCGAGTACCACTCAGAAGCCTGCGACGACCCAAGCTACCAAACTGCCCTGTTGCAAAAAGCAAAAGATTCAGGGCATTGACGAGTCTCCCAATGTCATAAGCTTTTCTCTGAACATTCAAAATGATAAGGCCGAGCAGACGAAGTCCTTGCAACAGATGCCTCGAAGTGGTAGGCACGTTATTCAGCCCGATTTGCGAATAAATGCCCTCACCAACTTACTGAGATATCGCAGAAAGAGTGCCAAGGATGTAGCTCTATATGCCAAGCCTTTATCTTCTCTTAAAGATCAGGAATTGCAGGTGCGAAGTCGAGTGAAGAGGAAAAAGGATAAGATCATAGACAAAAAGCAACTTCTCCAAGCTGAGTTAAAAATCTGGCCCATAAGCGTACGATCAAAAATGGTAGAGAGGTTACATTGATTGTGAAATAAGTATATTTTTTAAAGTTTAAAATAAAGATTCTTTAACCACTCCTAACAATCATTAAAATAATCTTTTTTGCGACCAGTTTTCCATAGTTTTTCAATTACTTTGAACAGTTTTTAAGACCCCTTTCATACTTTCAGGCAATCCGGACACATTAATCTGCGGCAATTGCCGGGAATCCTTTGGCGAGCTGTCTGAGTTATTGGACCACAAGAAAAGTTATTGCAAGCTGAGGTTCACATGCAAGTGCCAGGATGTTGCCTTTGCGGCAAGTGCAAGTAAGTGGGCGTTTGGTTTGGTTGGCTTCCTGGGGTTAAGGAGTGGCAGCTTGTCTGTTGGCAATTAATTTATGATTGTTAAACACTTTTTGCCCTTGCTCCGGCCGAAAAGTGTTTGTCTAAGCTGGGGAGGCTCCATCCGCCTTGTGTTTGCCAGTCAGCAACATCTGCTGGTCGAGCAGCAGAATGTATGTGTGTATGTATGTCCTGCGGCTGCTTGCAAATGCATTTAAAATTGAGTTATTTATGCGCCAGAGCCTCCGATCTCTGTCCGTCTGAATGTCCCTTCTGCAAATTCCAACTTAAATAACTAATTAATTCTCGCATGTTTCACCCTGAACATACAGAGACTCCGCCGACGAGCGCCAAATTGCTGTGCGCCGTTTGCAAGGATGCGTTCGCCAATCCTTGGGATTTGATGGTCCACGCACAGGCCGCCCACATGGTTAACATTTACGAGCTTGGCGATGATGAGGGTAACACTACCACCACCACCATATCCACTGGCAGTAGCAACAATATTGCAACTGCAACCGTGGAGAATGGACATGCAATCGCTGATGAGGCTGCCACAAAGCAGCAGCAGCAACAGCAGCAGCAGATGCCACAGATGCCAGCCTCATCAACACTTAACAAGGAGCCCAATAACAATAACAAAATTAGCAACAACAACAATAACAGCGAGAACAACAATGGCCATATGTCGCCCTCGGGAACAGCGATGATTATGGCCTCTGGTTCATCGACGGACAATGGCATGCCCAGTGATGTGGATACTAACTGCCTGGAAATCAAATTCAGTCCCAATGCCAGTCCCAAGGAGGTGGGTTTCATGGCAATACCCACGCCTGGCAGAGATTCCCAATCCCCAATGATTCTATTACAGGATCAGCACAGGGATGATCTCTCCCTGGATGAACGGATGTCTAGCAGCTCACAGCAGACCCATAACTCGGATGAACTTAATGTTAAGCTGATGAATGGCTCTGTCTCCTCGAGGGGAAGTTCTCCTGGCTTGGAGGCCGATGAGCCGCCGGCAACTAGAGCTTGTATTGTCCGGACTCTGAGCATTGTGAGTATGGAAGATCCTTGGAAAATTCTTAATATAAAAACTTGATAACTATACGAGAAGGAAAATTACACTTAAAGAAATTGATTCAAATTTTTTGTTCGTTTTCTACCATTCACAGGATACAACCGCTTCAGCTGCAGTGCCAACTGGCAACGCCTTGAGCCTGATGTCGAACAGCTTGAGCCTTGCCCTTGCCCCTCAATAGGTCAGAGGTCAGGCGGAGGGTCAAAAGCAACTGGAAAGGACAAACGGGCTCAATGGACACTCCTTAGTGTGTCGACTTGTGCTATCGTAATCCGATACAAGTGCAATTTCTTCAGTATTTTTGTAACAGACTAACCCCGGAGGGAAGCTAATAAGTCAGATTGAGAAATAAAAACGAATAACGTAAATTACAGCAAACATATCATTTTAAATTAGCCATAGATATGACATATATAGCATATACTGCTATAGCTATATATCAATTACAGCCATGATGTGTACGTTTATATGTAATGTATTTGTATTCGTAAGTGTAATTGTAATTGTAAAAGCCATTGTGTTTTTCGTTGTTGTTCTTTGCATGTCCTTTGGGTTTAGCGTTTCAAACGAAAGGGTATTTATTTGGGTTTCAAAACTGCATAAGTGAACGTATAGGTAAAATTATGGAAAGCTTAAACTGTCATCGCCAATGGCCGGCGATGCCAATTGAATGGTAATCGAGCTTTGTATATAGTTAATACCACTTACAAGGATACAAATTACGGAATTATATAAGATAATTGTTATTAACCAGGCGTATGCCGTCTGGCCAGTTTATATTTTCGATATAATTTATGGAATAAATTAATCATAGCTCGTACTACAAAACCAAAATTTAACCCACGCAAATTGTATATCAAAAGTAGCATAGGGACAACAGGTGTTTCAAAAACAAATTAAGGAGCAACATGCTATAATAATAATCATCTAGAATCATAATCAAATATGCGTAATATTAATAGCGACTATATTCTGTAATAACTATATCAAAAGTAGCGGCTATGTAAATAGGTTAATCAACGTATCATGTACTTACCAAGCAAACAATTTGTAAACAGTAACAACATTCAATTCAATGTCCTCCAGCTAAACAAATGTAAACCCAGAAAATGAAATGTATTATGCTAAATGAGAATACCAAATATATATATATATACAGATATATAACTTAAAGAGTGTTTTAATGGGTAGCAACTACCTTAAATCGAAGGACTTTTCCGACGTTTCATTTTTAGCAACGCATCAGAAATTCTATTTCGCAGCTCATTAAAATAAATGATCGCCAGACTTTGCCAGGCGGAAAAGTGTGTAAATGTTTACGGCTGGCAAAAGGAACAGCAGGCAACAGCAAGTGCAAGGACAATGCCAACATTGTTGAAGGCACAGCGTCACAATAATGAAAAGTCCCCAACAAAGGGTGAGTTAAGGTGTTCCACTTCCATTTCCCCCATCCTTTTGGCGGCGTTTTTCCAGTACCTACGAGAAATTTAGACACAATGCCCCCAAAATGCAGTTGACTTTATTAAAATGCGCAACCAAAATGGTCGCATCGTGTTGTGCGATGTTGCACGTTGGAGTTTCCTTTTTGTTGTGTCCTTGCCGCTGGCCATGGCGCTTTTTGTGTTTACTCTCCTTAAAGGGTAGGTACATTTTGGCAAACCTTTTAGTTAGGGAAAGTTGTTAAAGATAAAACCATGTTTTGTTAAAAAAAATGTATCTGGTGATTATTTAACCAAATGTTCAATTTGAATTTGATTCGATGGTCGTCGCATCGTTTTTGCTTCACTTACAAACGTCTTCACAAGGCCAGATCTTGTCGAATATTTTACCGTCGTCCCTTTTGTCGTCGTTCCTTCTCTTGTCGTTTTTTACTTCTCTCCGCTGAGCTTCTCGTCTCGTATCTACTCGTCGCTAGTCGCTATGTCAGCTGTTTTCAAGATTTCGTTGTTCTCGTTGTCAAGGTTTTTGCTTGTATTTGGAAGTGATATTACAGTAACCAATCCCACATGATATTAATCTACTGAAAAGGTAGATCACGTTGGATTTTAAATTGGTTTTACCAGTTGGATAGAGTATATCCTAGTTGTCTTCCCTTTCGTTGTGCTATCCTGTTTAACCTGAGGATTTGCCTCAACATTGTCGGCGTCTGCAACCGTTTGGCATTTTGTTTCGAGGTCGAGTTAAGCGCCTGCAGTCAAGTGGCCTCGGTAAGTGGAGGTCGAGATTTAAAATGCATAAGTCCGGTGTGGCCGGAAAGTTGCCGTTTTCAATTTGGCCAGGGCCATTCCAGCTGGACCTGTCGCGGTGGCAAGATGTACAGATGAGGATGTGACGGTGACCGCGCCGAGCTGGGGCGAGCTTAAAGTGCGCGCTGGCTAATTAGAATGCCTCGCCTAGTGCAGGCTCAAAGGTAACATTTATCCGGGCAATGGGTCAGAGTTGACAATTACGTTGGTCGAACAAGGGAGCAGGGGGGCTTCATGGGCTTCCTGGTCTCTCCAACCCACCCTGAGGGACACCTCGAGTACACCGGTGTACCAGAGCGAGCTTGCAAATTACGCCAGCTTAGCGAAATGAAGTAATTGAAACGCCACCGAAAACGCCACCTTCCCACGCCGAAAATACGTGGAAAAACGTATGCGTGCCGCAGTCCCAATCCACCGGGACTGACCGCAGACCTCCCATGGTAGCCGCACCCCGGCGGACAGAGTGTATATAAAAGCCGGAGTCTTGCGTGCGCACCGCTGACTTAGTCAACGCATCTCCAGTACGACGGACCGGATGTCGACGGACAGCACACAACCCCATACACCAAGTCACGAGGTAGCGGTCCGTCCGCCGCCCTGTGCCGCCAATCAATGGAAACGGGCTGCTCTGATGGCCCGGATGGCACCGGCATTCCGGGAAACCGTATCCGATGACAGCGAGGACGAGGTGGACACCAAAAAGCAGATCAAATACGGCAGCGGCTTTCAAGCGGCCAAGGCCATCATCCACGAGTACTGCGACTATACGACCATCCATGGTATCCGGTATTTGGGCGAAAAGAAACGACCCATATTGGAGCGTCTGTTCTGGATCAGTGTCCTGGTGCTATCGGTTTTCACCTGCGTCAAGCTGACCCTAAATATCTGGGACAAATGGAATAACAATCCGGTTATCGTCAGTTTCGCCGAGAAGTCAACTCCCGTTTGGGAAATCCCCTTTCCCGCTGTCACAGTTTGTCCGGAGACAAAGACCCGCCGTGCGATATTCAATTTTACGGATTCCTATCATCAAGTCCGCGATTTCCAGAATAATGTCAGTGGCATTTTGGATCTCACCGATAGGCAGTAAGTTTGGTATCTAACAAATAAAAAGGAAAGGGTTCCTCATAATGTCTTCCTAATAGAAAGGGATTATATGGCGCCGTGTCGCAGGTTTGCGAGCCCCATCTGCATGATGTAATCTTGGGTAATAAAACCAGGAGAGGAATGGAAATAATTGACGACTTGACGGAAGTATCGCCCCATTTCGATGACACCTATCTTAATTGCAAGTGGAGAAATACTCCCGTGAAATGCAGCGAGATATTCCACAAGTTTGTGACAGAGGATGGTGTCTGCTATAGTTTCAACTCACTTAGTCCAGCGGAGATCTTCAGGGCTGAAGGGTAAGGTTTGGTTGTAAGTCTAAGAGAAAATGGGATATAGGATTCCCGTTGCAGCATTATTCCCGACTTTATATTCCGCGAGGAGAATCGCCTGTCCATGGACTGGAATGTTGAGGATGGCTATAGCGCCAGTGCGGATACTTCACCATATCCAAATCGAGTTTTGGGCCCCGGAGCAAGAGCTGGTCTATATCTTTTCATGGGTGGAGCGGAGATTGACTTCGATGATATGTGCCGTGGGCCAGTTCAGGGTTTCAAGGTGAAAATCTATTTCATTTCCCTTAACTATTTTTACTCTCAAAAGTAATCACTTTAGATTCTATTACACACTCCTGGAGATGTGGCCCAGGTGTCCAAGCAGTACTTCCGCATACCCTTCGACCAGGAAGTGCTCATCTCCATACGTCCCAAGATCATTACCACTTCCGATGGCCTCAAGCATTACGAACCCAACCGCCGGCAGTGTTATTTCCAAAAGGAAAGGGAATTGCGTTACTTTAACATCTACTCGCAGAGTAATTGCGAACTGGAGTGCCTGGCCAACTTCACTTTGACCAAATGTGGTTGTGTGAAGTTCTCTATGCCACGTAGGTTTTTACCAGGACTCTCTCTTGGGACTCGACTAATTAATTTTCTTTTAGGTAATGTAAATATGCCTGTCTGTGGCGATGCCAGTTTGAAGTGTTATAACCAAGCGGAAGATGAACTGCTACTCAGGGAATTCACTCAGGGCTTGGTCAACGCAGGGGAAAATACACGGGGAGAAACTGAGTGTAACTGCCTGCCATCATGTACTTCGATTGCTTATGAGGCTGAGATCTCGCAGGCAGATTTTGATTATAAAACAGTTGCCAATCGGGAAACAACGGAGAGCAAAGAGGAGCAGAAAAAGAGACAGGAGTAAGTCAGGAAGATCAGGATAACTAACCTATCAAATTGATATAAACTTTAACCCCCTTTCTACAGAATGAAGATGTCGCGTGTATCAATCTTCTTCAAGGAGGCCCAGTTTCTGACTTCTCGCCGTTCTGAGCTTTATGGTACCACCGACTTTCTTGCCAATTGCGGTGGCTTACTTGGCCTCTTCATGGGCGTTTCCATGTTGAGTATCGTGGAACTGGTCTACTTCTGTACCGTGCGTCTCATCTCAAATCTAAGGATGCGCCGCAAAACTCGCAAGGAATTGCTGAAGGCGGTCAACAAGGATGCCTAATCGAAGGACCAACCGCAGAGCCTATAAATAATACAGAGAGAACGGAGAAAACGGAGAGCCAAAGTTGAGCTGACTCTGCTGCTCTGTGTTTGTGTTGCGTTAAATGTTAAATCTGCAAACAATGAAAATAAAGTTGTACTCAGCACTAGACGGCAAAATGCAGTCCTCTGTCTAACCCGATACGACGACCCGCATACTGCCAAATCTCCACTTTGTGTGTGCATTTGAAATGGAATCAATTATTTTATTGTGTGATTTGCAGCTCTGCCTTGCGATTCGATTCGATTTCGAAAGTCAATAGACAACGTCGTCGAAGAGTCGCAGACAAAGTCAAAGGGGAAGCTACGCATCTCAACTACCAGCTCATATGTTATGCAGGGCCAATCCTTTGATTCTGTTCAGGATAACTTGATCCTGGAATGGGGTATATATCGTAAGAGGATACCTTCAGTGGGCAAACACCGAGGCAATCTCTGTCCTACTCCATGCTCAAGTTGTGCGTGCGGCTCTAATGGAAATCCAATTGAATTAAGTTAATTATGTTGGCAAATATTTAAACAATAGCAGCAATTTATGCACACCCAACCCAGGGACCTCTTGCTGATCCTGCAGGCCCCACAAAGTAGGCTTTAAAATATAGACTGCCTGTCATTTTGTTTAATTCAATTGGCTGCCTGGCTGGGCTGCGTGCATTATCATAGCCGCGAATTTCCACAACCAACACTTGTGTGCAACAGTTGGGCCGGCCATGAAACTCATGGAAATTCGCAGTTGAGTTCATTACGGCAACAAGTGTCGAAATGTGTCGAAATATTGCAAATAAAGTTGACACATTTGCATATGCCTAATAAAAATTTCATAACGAAACGCGGTGGCGAGTGCATTGCACGTTGCACGTTGCACGTCGCACATTGGGCACGGAATCGCAGTCCACATCCGTGTCCGCACTTTGGCACTTTCCATCTCCACCGACTGGCTTTTGTGGGCCACCTTTTTTACTTTCCGTGCCTGCCAATTTGATTCACATATAAAAATGAATTTATGACAATTTCCGGCTGATGGCTGCCAAGGCTGTCTCGAGGGCTTTATTGATTCCGCACAGGGCGAGGGTGGTTTCAGTAAATTTTAGAGTTTTTTCTTACCTTTGGCTTTTGCTTTTTTAATAAGAAAGCTTATTTATGATTGTTGATGATCTTAGACTTAGAATTAATTTTGTAAAATATTCTTTAAACTCAAAATCACAAAAAGTTCAAGTTCTGCCGTTCTGATAATAGTTACATAAACTTTAGTCAATTTTACTTTGTAACAACTCTCGTTGAAAGGATAAAACTCATCTTTTATATTTTTAAGTAACTACTTTTCGGCAATACGACTCTTTCATTGACTCTTTGCAGACGCCGATAATGTGACATCGACTATTAAGCAGTAAAAGCAACTCAAAGTCGGGGCCAGGCCATGTCAGTAATCAATTTGCAAGTAATTTCTGCTCTGTTCCGGTTGAGTTTTCCTCCCTTTGTGATGGCAGACATGAATAAGTCCGGGATAACATGACACTTGACATTGAGCCGGAGGTTCGGTGGGGAGCACTCGTGCACTCGCGGGCAATATCAATAAAAACTTTTCTTCGCTTTTTGCAAGAAATGCACGCAAAAAAAGAGTACAAATTGTAATTAAACTTTTGCACAATGCAACTCAAACTGTCCGCAGTGTCTGGCAGGAGCAACAAAAAATGAAAAAAAGACAGCCATCAGCTGCATAGCAACAACAAATAACAAAGTAAAAGGCGATGCAATCGTTTGATTTGCTCGGCAAGGCTTTGAATTTCCGGTTTCCTGTTTCCGGTCTACGAACTCACAGCGAAAAAAACCTCGCGAATATCAAATATTATTAGAGATTGGTTTGGTTTTAAAAGTGTTATTTTCTAACTGTGATGAGTGAGTAAATATAATATATTTTTATAATCTATATTTATCTCTTTACGAAATATTAAAATATTATAAAAATAATTTCCTAAACTTAACGTGATATTTTCCTAATTTTGTCTGCACTATTCAGGCCTTTGGCAATTTATGGCCAACGGGAGGTAGGAGAAAGTGGCTGCCAGGCCGCCATGTTTGTTTGTATTTATGTCGGTTTGCCGAGCAGCGTTTTGCGGCATTCAGACATTCAAATGCAGAGTGACTACAGCACGCGGCTGTCATGTCAAGTGGTGGTGGTGGCCCACCTGGTGGAGATTGCTTTGTAGGGGATTGGAGTGGAAAGGATGACGACTGCTGGTGCTGCTGCTGCTGCTGCCTCGAACTGATTGCTTAAGCGGAAATGACTTGAATGCCTTCGCTATCGCCGCGTCACACGGGGCGTATGTGGAATTTCGCACTCGATTGCCTTGGAGGCGAAGTTTTGTGTAACGCGATTAGCGGTTTGCGCTCAACGTTGTTTTGTTTGTTTGCTGTTGTGTCTAAGTCCTGGCAAGTCCTGCGGAGCAACAACTGAACACCTGGGTACATAGAACATAGAACATAGAACCTGGAACCGAAACCCCGGCATCGATTGCAGTAATTGCAGTTGTTGCGCGTCTAAAACTTCAAACCGAAGTTGGGAAAGTCATTAAAAACTTGTGCCCAACTTTGGATTCGAATTAGAATTTTTGATTAAATTTCATCAAGGGTTAGACGGAGATTCCTGGCAATTTACTTACGACAAGATGGGACAAGACAATTAATGAAAAATGCATAAGCCAAATGGCGAATCAATGTATATCGTGACACCAATCGCGAATTAACACCCTCATATACTCTCATATATAGCCTCATTGTCACGCAGGATTCACTGCGGTGCGGTGCGGTATGGTATGGTTGACATTTGTATGCAAACCGCGCACTAAATTAGATTCTTTTTTACTGCAGCCACATCGTCGTCCGCTTGATGATGAGGCGATGACAGGGTTTCCCAGTTTATTTTCCTGCTTTTCCAGCTTTCTCAGCTACTGGCGATAAAATGCGTAAGCTCGTTAAAATTGCAAGCGACGCGCCTCTTATAATAATGGCAATCGATGGCTGAGGCGGGGTGGATGCCAGCATAGCTGAAGGATATTGATGGTGCGACATATTGATTTGACTCTGCAGGATTCTCGATTGTGGTTGCTCCATGGTGAATCCGAGAGTGGAGCATCGTAAACATAAAATCGTTGATGGTAAGTGGGTCGTATAAAATAAACAGTCTTCGCATGACTTTAGCTAACAACCTGTTGTAGTTTATTATTTCTCGTAAAAGTGTTTTCTTGTTGGAAATTAGAAGTAACTATTACATAACTATTACAATGATTTAAGATGTAGGCTTAAGTTAACTTCAGTATCTTAGTAAAGTAAATATGTGCTTTAAAATAAGGTCAAAGGTCTTGCCCAAATAATCTTAATATATTTTTACCCACAACTTGATGATGTTTTTTATCAATTATTATTCATTCTTTATATAATACCCCTTTCTGGAACACCCTTAAAATCTGCAATGGACATTCTTTATGCATAATTCCTATCCTAATCCCGTTTCCTAAGGTCCCAACAATTGAAACCGGAACATCCTTACATTCCCATTCATATTCAGTTTTATAATTGCTTTTGCCGGAGACCGGGACCGACCGAAAAATCTGCACACAGAGAAAATAATATAAATTAAATTCACTAGCGCAAGTTCTCGAGCTTATTATGCATTACCTAATGAAAACTGGGCCAGGACCCAAGGACCAAGGACCAAAGGAGTCAGCTTGGCAGCCGCGTAAGCAAATAATAAATAAATAAATAAACGAAAAGCGCAAATAACATTTGAGAGCCAGATTTAATTTCTAACGTTGAGTGCGCATATTAAAACAGTCGGTCTGGGGATGGTGGAATTGTGGCTGAAGGATATTCGGGGGTGAATGGGGGCCAGCAGACAAAAGGCGGAGGAAAACCTTGCTGCGAGCAACAAACAAAGATGATGCGGATATCGTCGAGCCCGGTCTGGTGTCGGTGTCTGTGGATATTATATGGAAGTGGATATGGAAGTGCAGCGGAAATGCGGGATTCCGGGACTATGGGATCCGTATCCGCCTTCATCCTTCTCCTCTCAAATCCAAAAGTCTGCGGGGCCTGGGGATATAAAAATAAACAATCAAAGCGGGCGGCAGAAGGCGTAATAGAAGTTGGCGTGAGTAAACAATGAATTACGGAATCATGAAAGCAAATTGACTTTAATGCAAAAATCAAATATTTACACAGCGCGGATGCGGGACAAGGACAGTAGTTAGGGTTAGCTATGAAAGGAAACGAAAGAGGTGGCAATGCAATTGCAATTCCCATTTGAAAGAGACGGCAATAGACAGGGCCAGAGACAAAAGGCAAACAAACGAACAAACAAACCAAATGGAAGAAAGAACGCATACAAATCGAGGTTATGTTAGACGTCCTGGCAGCAAACTCTTTCCTATTTTCCCAAAAATTTGTTTCGGCACTTAAATGCCAATGCACACAAGCCCGGAATATACACATATATGCAGGTTTAGATAGAGGTACACATGGAAAATTAAGTAAAAGTTGTATTTGAGTTTAAAAAATAGATTTTGGAGTTTTTTTTTTGGAAAATTCCATGAATTTAAGAAACTTGACTTTATCTTAAAGCTAGAAACATTAAGTTCTTTTTAAATCCTATAGTTAAGTCTTTAAATCCTCTGATGTTTACCTAATTCTAATGATATTTTATAAGCTAAAAAGAAAAAGGTTGAAATAGTTTTTTCTCTGTATAAAAAGAAAGCCAGCAGTGTAAGGGCTAAGGGGTCAAATGGGGGTTTAAATTGAGGGTCAGCTTCTGTGCGGCATTGGTCTGCAGCGCTTCCGGTTACCGAGTGAACGTTATTAGCTCGCTGGGCGTGGATGCGGTCTGGCTTGGTCAGAATTTTACGATTTCATTCATTTTTGTGGCTGCCATTTGACGCCGCAAAATATGCAACAAAATTTTATTTGCCAGAAATAAGAACCCGAGACCTTGGCTGGAATAAAAATAAAATTATAGAAACTATTGTGCAATGCTTTGGAAGTTAGAGTGCCAAACACTTTAAGGCATTTCCCTTGCTTATCGCAATTTGCCAAAGAATTTCTCAATTAGAATGGAGAGCTGCCATGCAATAAAGCAAGTAAGAGAGTGAGGGAAAAAGTGTTAGCGTGGCCAAAAAAGAGGAACCATAAAATTGGGTGAAAGAGGAAACATCACACAAATCTGAAAACCATAAAAGTGTCGCTTTCAATTGTTACCCCAACTCCCAGCTCCGGACTGCAGGCGACAATCGAAGCCAACAAGTGAAATTGATACGTTCAATGGATAGTGCCGAGTCCTGCCTGCAAGGATATACGAGTGTGTGGTGGGAATAAAAAGGAAACAGGATGGATGAGGGTGCTCTAGAAACTCACAAACACAAATTGATGATGATGTAGTGTGTGTGTGAGCCTGCAACTGTGTGTCAGGATGCTCAACGAGATTTTTTTTACATCTCAACTTGGGTTATGCGGATTTTTAAAGGAGAGTTTGTTTAAGTTTACTTGAAATAATAAATATATTAATAATAATATCTTTAATCTACATACTTTTTTTCAGCCAGAATATGTATCCTATCATATACAAATCTTTTTTCAGAATATTATTATTTACTTAAAGAGTATAGCAAGTCCCCAAGGTTTTTCCCAGACTCCTTCATCAATCCCCGATACTTTATTACTTTCCAAACTGAACTGAGAATGATGCCAGCGATGATTGACACCACGCCCGGCAATAAATTTTTAATTTTCAATGCTCCACGATAGACTGATGGTCCGGATGGACCCATTCCCATATCCTTGCCTCCAGTGAGCTTGTTAAATTCAAATTAGAACGATGCCAGGAGCTGGGTTCTATGCGAGGAGTTGCCGCTGACAGCGAAGATAAATGACAGAGAACTGCGATCGCAACAAATTAACCTTGTTAGAGGCTGCAGCACAGGCAAAGACCCGGACCAGGACATAACTTCGGAGTAGTAGTGGATACGGCAAGGACTCCGGCCCCGAGGACACCAGTTACAAGTGTATGTAATTTTTTATCGTCTGCGACTTTCGACTCCACACCCACTGACGACGACGACGACTGACTTATGAATGGCGTGTGCCAGTTGAGTCGAGACAGTGCACTGTGAGAAAATAGAGTAGTTTCTATTTGTAAATCAGTTAGAAGTTTCATGTTATGAACGAAATGTTATACTCATTTTCATACATAGAAACCTTTTCTTTTGACATTATTACTTCCCTATTTACTATACTTTTCTCTGAGTGTAAGGAATATTCTGCTACTGCCACTGCTGTGAGTCGATAAATCAGTTTGTGTATCAAATTGAATTCACGAGCGTGCACTTGACACCAAGCCCACGCACATTTATCAGCCGAATCAGGCGAATCCTTCAGAACATGAACTTTAACTCGGCCTGGTTGGAGAACCACAAAATTTTAATCTCAACTAAGAGCTCACAAAAATGAAATAAAACAAAAAGTAACCATCGACGGTGTACATTATAAATTATTCATTACGAAAAACGCAACCGCGACACGCCCACATTTTTTGAGCCAAGTAAATGAACGCCTTCCGCTGACGGGCGCTCGTTTGCACCTAATTTGATTTTTAGCTGCTGCTTCTTTTTGGTGGCGAGTCTGCGGTTGCTTCTCTTGGCATTCCTTCCTCTGGCTGCCTTTTCTCTTCCACAAGCCACCTCGCAGATTCTAACTCACAGATACCCCTAACACCCTAACACGAAGAAGGACGTGGCAGCGTTTTCCATGGCCGCATCCTGTTTTCTTTTCATTCATTCCAGCGGCTGGCTGTCGAAAAAAATGTCTGTTATGTGGCTACAGAATTTTGCAGTAATTAATGGCAACTGTTTGATTAAAAAATTCCAAAGCAAATCCCCATGCAAGGATGTGTAGGGGTTTAGTTCTAGTTTTTCCTCCTGAAAACCAGTTTCCATTACCAACCGCGGTCAAAAGCTGTGAAGCTGAATAAATCTATGCAGATTCCAGGGATTTCTTAAAGTATTTTGCAAGCTGTGTAAGAGAGGAATAAAAGGGATTGAAATTAAATATTTAAAAACTTAAGATGATATGAGAACAATGTCAACTAGTTTTACTTTAATATAACATATGAAATTGTTTCTGTTTTTGATCAGTAGAATGTGCTTTTGTTCCACTCTTACTCTCAAAATATCCCTTTTGGTTGCCATAACTTTGGCCGCAGTGAGTTCTATGAACACCTTTATATATAAACTTAGTCTAAAACCGATTTTTACAGGGATTCAATGCTGGACAAGTCTCAAAAGACATTACCATGCTGGATAAGTTGGAAGGCCACCATCACGTTATTCTCATCATAAGTCTTTCCCTGTGCGTTATCATTCTGGTTGTCCTCTTATTCGCCATTTTTGCTGCGATTCGGCATCATATATTAATTCTAAGTGTGGTGGGATTGATTAAGTTAACCCATAACTACTATTAACTACTTCATTTCTTAGTCCCTCATATGCTTATTTATTAAGTCTTTTGCAAAGATGATCATTCTAATCGTGTCTCTGCTATCTGTAACAACGACTTTAGAAAACACTGCGGCTCACTTTTGGTTTATTCTATGTTGGATATTTACGGTATATCTTTATATATCTTATAATTATGTATATTAATCCGTATTCCGTAGATTACGTGCATGATAACCGCTCTTTTCTTTTTAATGCGGTTAAAAGAATACGAGACAGAGGATTAATTTTTGCTTAATTTTGATTTTTAGTGTTTATCTCTGGCATTTATCAACTAATTGTAGTAGTAAGAACGGAGATCAAGAACTGATACAACTTTAAATATGTGTTAGCCAACTTTTCTTTGTCAAAATTAAAAAAAAATCAAAGTTATACTTTGCAAAAACTTTGAAAGCATGTGCTTTTGTCCCACACTTGGCCTCAAAATCCTACTTTTGGTGCTAATACCTTTGACAGCAGTGAGTTAAAAATGAATACCTAACTTAATCACTATCTCTAGGTTTATTTTTTAGGCATTTACTGCCGCCGAATTATCAGCAAATATTGCCATATGGAATGAATTCATAGGTTACCAACATACTATCCTGATTACATGCTCATCCTTGTGTGTATTTATATTCGTGGCTCTTGCTCTACTAACATATGCGACGATCTTTACCAAAGTCAGGGTTCTGTATGCAGTAGGTGCATTTGGTGTTCTCTTGAATATTTTTACAAAATATTTGTTTTAACTTTCAGGTGCTTTTTATTTTCTCTGTTAACGTCTTGGTTAAGCTGGTCATTCTTTTTGTCTGCATAACTCTTGAACCAAATTCGGAAAAGTCAGTTGCTACTCCATGGTTGGTTGCTGCCTGGTTTTTTTCGGTAAGAATAGAACGAAAAAGTATTATTATTATACATATGTATACACCTCGGGACACGATGATTTTATTTGAATGTAACGGACGTTTAGTATCTCTCGTTTTAGTAAATATCTCGTTTCTAGTTGATTCTTAGTTTGGTACTTTCTTATGTTATACTAGTAGGAGTGAGAACAGATAATTTTAACGAGATGTCAGTAAGAGTAAGTAAGACAAAGCTATCTACTCCCTTGAGATGCTTAGTGGGTGAGAGTGAATGGGATAACGATAGTGACGCAGGCGAACTGCGCAGCTGAATTACTCGTCACAAAAATATAAGAGGAAGAGAAGAAAAACGGCAGTCATTTGGAAAGCAAGCTCAAGGAAACTTGATTTGCTTTTAGCCATTTCATTAAAAAGTCATACATATGTAAATAACAACACCGACAAAACAAACGAGGGTGTAAGCCTCGACCCGCTATATGTATATACATATATCTAATAATTATATTTCTAATATCATAATAGTTTTTTTGTATGGTGTCTATTGCTTGTTACTGCATACGACTGCATGATCTGGCCAACGAAGAATAAGTTAGAATGTTTATGTTTGGAATAATGTAAAGTAAAGTGAAGTAAACAAGGTAAACATTTTTAAATATAATGATGTTGTATTTAAGATTTTGTATTTATTTTGTGCCTTTATTATTTAGAATTCTGAAAAATATGTCGAGTATTAGTAGTGAGGAGGAAAACCTAAGGGCGCAGGAACCGCACATATGGAAGCTAAGGATACTTCGAACAGTGAGCGTGGCCTCTCTGATTGCATCTTTTGTAAGTATTTTCAGATATAGATCTTATATCAATTAAATGATTAACACTCCACAGGCCTTAACCTTTTTTAACATTTATCATTACTATTTCCATTTCATGGCCCATGTGAACTGCTGGCACTGCTTGTGCCAGCATTATATGGTTATCGCGATTGCCACTTCGGCTCTAATTGGGATACTTCTTTGCCTGGCCTTTCCTTTGGTTCTTATAGAATCAGCCCGAGGATTTCGCATAGTGAGTGAAAATTATTTATAATATCTTTAATATAATTTAAATTATAACTAAACAGTACTTGCCCATTCTCTTTGTGGCCTCTTTTGCGGAGTTTATGTTGGCTATGGTGTTCACCACCAATTACTCAGCTGCCCATGATGTAATGCGAATTTGGGAGAATCAAAGGAGCCTCAAGTACTTTGAAGTCAATGTGAGATTCTAATAGTAATATCTTTAAAAACAACACCAAAAAAAGGTTACAGTTTTGAATATTTGAATTTTAACAGAAGTTTTAACTTAGTTTTCAATTCTACATAAATTTTATAATATATAAGTTCTGTTTTCCAGTACAAGTGCTGCGGAGTGATTGGACCTGATGACTACCTGGTGGCCGCATTAGATCTACCAAAATCCTGCTACAAGGATAAAAGTGGTCTCCCCAAAGACCTGTACACGGAAGGCTGCGCAAAACGAACACATAATTCGCCCAATATTGCAGTTAGCAAGATTGTGTCCGGAGTATTTAGGGTGATTATTTATTCAATGTTTTTCAAAAATAATTAAGATTTATTTCAGTTAGTATTGATCTTCACTTTGGTCGTATACATTATTGTCTTGAAAAAGAGGAGCGCTCCATTACGCTTACAATATTCACTTCATCCATCATATCGAGGACAGAGATTTGAAGGCCGTTTCTTTACTGGAGATTAGATTTTGAAATTTAATATATAGAATCAAATAAAGTGTATTTTGTTTTTCTAAATAGTTACATATACCTGCGAAAACATTGTCACACTTTGAAAGTTCATTTATAAAATGCCTGATTTAGAATCATTCAGCTTGAGACTGAGCACCTGCAAGAAATTAATGTATATTGCCTGGTTAATCAATTTTGTAGGTAATATCGTAGATGCTAAAGAACAACTTCTTAGGAAAGTCCAACCTATAGATACTAGCCTTTGCGGATATATATGTTTATTATACAAGGCTGAAGAAGCACATGGCTTGCTGGGGATGTTTGTTCAAGCACTATATGACCTTAGCGATTACCTTTTCGTTCCTGATGATCCCACTACTGATCCTGGCCATACCCTTGGTATATTATCATGTATCCAGTCACCTTCGAATTGTGAGTAATGTTAAAGTATATAAAAGACCAAAAAGGACTTACTTAGATTGCTTGTTATATATTTCTGTAGTACACGACTGTGCTCTTCCTAGTCACTTGGTTGCAGATGATGTTGACCATTTTGTTTACCCAGGAGTACCAAGTCGTAAACGATGTCTTTCGATTGTGGTTAAATGGTCAGAATTTGGAGTTCTTCGAAATCAATGTGAGAGTTAAAAGTTTGATAATAATTTAAGTTTAAAACCTTTGATTATCAGTCAGAGTGCTGCGGAGTGTTGGGATATGGAGACTACACTCTGGTCGAGAGAAGGATCCCCGACTCCTGCTTCAAGGATTCCATAAGAAAGCAGGAGAACCTCTACAAGACTGGCTGTGCCTTTCGCTCCCTAAAGCCCCCAGCAGCGCATGTAATCCAAGTGGTATCGGTCATAGTCCAGGTGAGTTCTGATGCTCAGATGCTTTGCAATTAATTCTAAGTATCTTTGCAGTTTTTGTTGGTATTGATTATTGTGCTATTCCTGGTTAACCTACACCGGGCCCGGAACAATGCCAGCAATTCAGCCGAATCCGTTGCCACTGCAAGTGAAACCTAAAGATTCATACGAAATTGGGAGGTAATCCTAAAGAGATGAACTTAAGGGTTACTTGCCAACTTCGAATGGGACTTAAGCAGCAGATTTTCAAGCGAAATTCAATTTCTGAATTTCGATCTGCAATTCACATTGCCCTGGGAATGGGTATTTGCTAACGGCGGGCGAGACAAATTGGATGCTGTTGGTGGCTCTCATCGTCATATTTCACGGACTGCAATCAATAACGATAAACACTTGAGTCGGAAATCCAATGTCCAGATTCTCCTGTCCAAGCGGCATGCATATGGATGAGCCAATAAAGAAATCAACAAAGCATGCCAGGCGATTGAAAAAGTATTGCAAATGCCAAGGGGACAGCCCGGGTATACGGACACGGAATTGGACTCCAATCCGGACAATATGCAAATGCAGCTAAGCAGAAAATATTCAAGGACGATCCGAAAAACATCCCCCATCCAGCCGGACGAGTTTATATTCATTTTGATGTCCCTCTCGCCTTGCGCATAAATTTTATTGTTGTCAACATTAAATTCTAGTCGTGGAAAACAATTTTGCAGCATTTGAAAATCCATAAAATATGCATACAAAATTGTCCAAACGGAACGACCAACTTTATGGCTAAATAGTTTGCTCCGGCCCACATCGTTAATGCCGCTTTTTTATGCGTGTGTTTGGCTGTTGGCCCAAACTTTTTAGCCGCCATAACAATAACGGCAGCAACAACCACACTTTGGTCAAGCTGCTGAAATACCCATAGCAAAGTTTATTGTCGGCCAGGGTATGGAGGGGGCAATGATATAAAGATAGAGTCCGCAGGCCAAAGGGTCATGTGGCTCATTAAACTTTGGCCAACAATTTTTTGTAGCACCCCACTGCCGACAAAGACAAACAGAAAGTTTTGCACTAAATATTTGCACCCTCGCTAAAAAAAAAGAGTTCAAATCGGAGAGTAGATTGTGAGGGGTGTTGAGGTGAGTGGCCATGGCTTCAAAGAACCTTGTAGGGGGTGTGGAATTTCTTAACACACATACGCCCCATTAAACGCTAGACAAATGGTATGTTGAGGAGTAATAAAGGGGTGAAAGTGTTACTTTAATTCTTGCTTATAGAAAACTTTTTATAGGGGAAGTTCTTGACGAAATACGATTAAAAGATAACATTTGTTTATGACTCTGTTAGGAATGTAATAATTTTGATTTACAGGGCTTAAATACCTTCCTTTTGAATCCGTTAATGTTTTTTAAAGTTTTAGCTAGTTTACAGACAAAGACATGTTAAAAAACACTACTCGACTGTCCCTCTACTCCACCCTCTTGCATATTAGTAACCACCTTCACCCTCACTTAACCCACAATTATAATTACTTAGAAAGCAAGTTCGTGTTCTACGCAGTTACTTTATTTCGTACGGACAAATCAACAAAGTGTCAACAAAGGTCTGGATGTATCACACCCTAGTATCCCCAGTGGGAACCGAATCCATCGAAGCTGGCATGGGCCACCACGGCAGCGGGCGAGTACTTCACAAACGCGGCGGGAGCGGCAGCCACCAATGGAGCAGGTGCGGAGTAAACTGGAGCAGGAGCGGAGTACACGGTCTTAGCCAAAACTGGAGCAGGAGCGGCATAGACTGGGGCTGGGGCAGCATAAACAGCCTTGGCCACTGGAGCAGAGTAGACAGTCTTGGCCACCACTGGAGCTGGAGCAGCATAAACTGGAGCAGGAGCGGCGTAAACAGTCTTGGCGACAACTGGAGCTGGAGCAGAGTAGACGGTCTTGGCCACAACTGGAGCAGGAGCAGCGGCGTAGAAGGACTTGGTGATCACGGGAGTAGGAGCCGAGTACAGGGTCTTCGGGGTGTACACATTGTTGGTGATGCGAGAGTCCACCTTGCTGACACTGGAGTACGGGGTGACCACATTCTTGGAGTAAGTGGACACGGTGCCACCGAAAGAGCGCACCACATTCTGCTGGGTGGTTCCTACGGCATCGTAATGCGGCTGAGCCACCTTGGCCACCACGGGAATGGAGGCAGCAGCATAAGTGGTTGCCGGAGCCAAAAAGCCAGCGCTGGCCACACCCACCAGAGCGCAGAAGGACAACAGGACGTACTTGAAAGCCATGGCGAAGATTGGAGTTTTTTTTTGTATTAACAAAAATTTAAATTGAAAACTGATGTTGGTCGTAAGCTGCAGTGGCTACTGATGCTAAACTCTTGCCAATCGCCTGTTTTTATAGCGAAAAAGCGCAAGTGTCTTGCCAAATTTCACGGCCAACTGGCAAATTATTTTGTGTGCTCGTATGACAGATTGACTTAGGCCTAAGCTCTGAAAAAACTGGTTCATTGGGTCGACAAATGACTGCGCTATTTTCTCTCTCCCTCTCTCTCTATCTTTCCGTGCTCCGTCTCTTTCTCAATTGGAGGCCACCTCAAGTGCCCCACACCCCAATCAGCCAAGTATCAAGCATCAAGAAAGTGAATTATTTTGAATACTCGGTACTATCAGCAGCTCATAAATTTTCCAGCGACAGGGAGAAAACTTTTATTTTCCCGGCGTGTGTTTTTCCATTAAATTGAGTTCCACTCGAGCAGCAAATATGAGCCAACCCCTCGATAAGGGGATGTTCCTGGCTCCTTATTCCTGGTCGCTGTCAACTTTATCAGCGGGTGGTGTCAGCGGTTCTTTTTTCGCGGGGTGGTGGCTGGCAGTCAGTTGTTTATGATTTTTGTTTGTTTTTATTCTAAGGGGGAGCTGAGAAGTTGTTGTGCCCTTCGGAAAAAAGGAGATCTGAAGTTGAAATTAATGATCAGAAGTCTAAAAGTTTCAGCACTTTTCGGCAAAGTGGCACGGAAATACGATTGGCAGTGCCTCAAAGATCACAAATCTCTAAAAATATACTTTTGAGTATTAACTAAAACATAAAAATATTTATATCTTTGGGTCACCCAAAACTTTAGTACTAAATTATGCTGAAAAAGGGCATCTAACACTTCGTCTTGTTTGCAGGTTTTCCCCCTCCTGTGTTGTTTTCTTTTTGTTTCGGCCAAGTTTGGAAAATGAATTTTCCTGCTCTGCTGCTCACGGGCGCATGATGAATATTTATTGAAATTACCAAAGTTGACGCTGCTCCAAATTGAATTGTGTTGCCAACTTGGGAAGCTTCTTACTGCCGCGAATTCTGCTCTTATTTTCCTTCTTCTATTCGCGTATTTTTTTGTTTTTGGCAAATTGTTATTAATTTTACACTGGGGAGGAGGCCCTGAAGTTTTCGTCTCACTCCGAAACCTAATTACCGCGTTTAATTTATGCCTGCAAATTGGCTTTCAAGCGGTTACGCAGGTGAACTGCCATCGCATTGTGGGCAGTTCAATTACCAAAAATCGACGAGAAAACCACCAAAAAACTACAAATATCTGGCACGCGTCCGATGCGTATAAAAGCCGCAACATTTTGGCCAAATCAGCATCAGTCGCAGCCCAACCAGCCTGCTTTCAACTTCAAAGTCTTCCAAAGCGTCCAGTCATCCTCAAGTAGTTCGACATGGCTTTCCGCTACCTCATCTCTCTGTGCGCCCTGGTGGCCTATGCCAATGCTGGTCTCTTGGCCAGCCATGTGGCCATTGCCAATCCGTCGGTGGATGCCGTTGCCTCTACCCAGCAGAATGTGGTGAGGTCTTTTGCCGGCACTGTTTCCAGCTACTCGAAGGCGGTGGATACCCCGTACTCCAGTGTGAGGAAGAGTGACACCAGGATCCAGAACAATGTCTACACTCCGGCTATTGCCAAGACTGCTTATGCCGCCACTCCTCTGTACACTCAGGCTACTCCTATTGTGGCCAAGACTCTGGTCCATGCTCCGGCTCCAGTCTTGGAGAAGACCGTCTACGCTGCTCCAGCTCCAGTTCTGGCTAAGACTGTGTACTCCGCTCCTGCCCCAGTTGTCGCCAAGACTGTTTATGCCGCTCCAGCTCCGGTTTATGCTGCTCCCGCTCCAGTGGTGGCTAAGACCGTCTACTCTGCACCAGCTCCAGTTTACGCAGCTCCTGCTCCAGTGGTTGCCAAGACCGTCTACGCTGCTCCCGCTCCTGTTGTGGCCAAGACTGTCTACTCCGCTCCCGCTCCCGTTGTTGCCAAGACCGTTTACGCTGCTCCCGCTCCTGTTTTGGCCAAGACCGTGTCCTATGCCGCACCCCTGGCCACCACCAACGTGAACCATGGACCTGCTGCCACCACCTACACCCACAACGCCCCAGCTTTGGGTGTCTCCAGCTACGGAACCTCCCAGACTGTTCACTACTCTCCCGCCGAGAGCGTTTCGCACATGAGCTTCGATGGATTCGGAACCCACTGGGGTTTCTAAATAAGTCTTGGCCTTTTGGCTTAGGCAATTGTTAATGTTGTTAGTGGTCAATAAAGACGGAGATCGATTGTTGCAAATTAAACATGAGCTGAGCAGTGTAGACCTTCCATTGGCAACGAAACAATGGGCAAGACCTGTTTCTGCCACATCATCGCTGAGGGCGGCCTTCGATGGGGTCTTACTTTAAGTTGTAAAGAGGGGATAAGGGGGAGAGTAGTAAGCGGCTTTGTGATAAAGCTGTGGGGGCGTGGCATGTCGTGTTTTATGGCTCTTTAATTGGATTTAATATTTTTCGCACACCTTTCCCCCGAAAGCACTTAAAGCCGGCGGAATAACCTCTGGCCCACTCGAGCACTTGTTATAATTATTGTCAGTTAATTAACGGATATTTATGCTCGCATAACCGCAGCTCCGCATAAATGGCTTACACATACACACTGTGCTCTCCCCTGGAGCTTTATCTTGACATTTGCCTAGAGTACGTTTCCATATGTGGTACAGTAATGGGCTCCAGTTTAATGGGTTCAATTGGATCCATTGACAGGCGGCTAAGAGGGCGAGATCAACAGATCAAATGCGTGTTTTGACAGTGATATTTTAGCGGTATTTGCTCGAACAACGCTCGAGTTGCGCAATGAAAGGTATGTGATATGGGTAGTGAGGTAATCAGATAAAAAAAAAAGTGGTCAAATTGTGTAAGCCAATAGAAATGTGATAAAAGAGTCAAAGTAGAGCAATATTTCCTTGCTTTCCTTTGAAATTTCCTTTGGAGATTTACTAGAACGACTGTCGAAGCTAGAAAAGTGAAGTAAACTTTTAAAATCCTTCTCTTTCCACAATAAAGTAAGGCAATTGGCCATTTAGTTTTCCCCTTTTAAAGACACGACACTAATGAGACATGCAATGGAGCTGATGAATTCCCCTTAGACCAATTGACAGGCCAGACAATAACAATCAAATTAAATGAAAACTTGTCCAAAAAGAGTAGAACGAGGCCCCTGTCTTGGAATTTTTGCCAGCCAAATTAGCTGCATTTGTTATTCTTGACTTAAACTTTGATTTGCGATTCGATTGCGCACACGCCCCATGCCACCTGCCACATGCCAAAATGTGCCAGATTGTTCTCGTCTGAGTTGACAATTAGTCAATAATTTATTTCAATTTCATTTCGCATGCCAGGCACACACTCTCCGGCACACACCCCCTAAAATCCGAAGCCTAACTGCACTTTAATTACATTTACATTTCGGCTTGAGATTGTCGCTTTAGTTTTTGCCATCAAACGAGGAGAATGGCTAGGCAATCCACCCTGCAATTGTTGCAATGCAATTTAGGTAAGCGAATTTTCATGATTTAAATAACAGCATTATGTGTGGCAGATTGTGTGTGTGTGTGTGTGTGTATGTGAGGCTGAAAAACTGCAGACAATGTGGACTTGCTGTTTGGTATTTTGTGTTTTGTCTGACTGGATGGCTGGCTGGCTGGCTGTGTGTCCTCGTATAATTAAATTATGGCTGGACATAAGACGCATAATAGGTCATAAATCAAATTTACCTATCCCACGGGTCCATGCCGGGCATGACACTCCAGACGCCGTCACAGACACAGTGTCCTATAGTCCTGTACATGCACGGAAAACAATTTTGATGATTTTATAAAGTTAATATTTGAGAAATAAAAATCAATTACGATAATCCAACCATATGAGAAAGGTAAACCAGTTTTTAGTTTAATACCGTTTCCGTTTACTAAATATTCGTACCTACATTTCTTCTATGAATTCTCGTTCAGTGTAACAAGGATGCACTGCATCCTAGTCCCTTTTCCCGCATTTTGATGGACATTATGACGACTCTGTCTCGGCAAACAATTAGACAATTGATGCATCTGTTGTGGCTGTTCTGCCCGTCCGTTTGAATTTACATTTGTGCCAGCATTTCAATTGCAACTTTGACTCCACGGAACCACAAAAGGGCAGTCCCGTGGTCCGGATTCTGTTCCCCGTAACTACGACTATAACAGCCGGACTGTGACTGCATTTAATGTGTCTTCTGTCAGCCCCAGCCGCACTTTGAAGAGAATGCAATTGAAACATTTCAGCACTAGGAAATGCAAATTCGTTGTCTTGTTTTCGGTTTACTGTTTTCAGTGTTCTTTTTTTTGTTCATGAGTGTAAATTTAAAATAGATTCGCTTTTTAAATTGCAGCATTCCAATATTTTAACTTATCTGGATAAGTGTTTGAAAATCTCTTTTGTGCAGCTAATGTCATCTACTAACTTACCTTTTCGGTAACTGATACAAGATCATAAATTTTAAAACAAAATTCATAAAAAAATATTTTAAGATTTGAATGCAAGTTTGATAAGAATTTGAGACACAAATCGGGACAGACCGATTTTCGCATTTTTGGAAAGGGGTAACATCATAAAATTTTACGAAAAATCTGAAAAAAATCACTTTTTGAGTGTGGTACCCAGTTCGACGGGGAATTTAAATACGAACTCAACGAGATATAACATTCCATGATACGATCATCTTTGGCGGCGTAATGAAGAAAATACTGATATTTTGAGACACAAATCGGGACAGACCGATTTTCGCATTTTCGGAAAGGGGTAACATCATAAAATTTTACGAAAAATCTGAAAAAAATCACTTTTTGAGTGTGGTACCCAGTTCGACGGGGAATTTAAATACGAACTCAACAAGATATAACATTCCATGATACGATCATCTTTGGCGGTGTAATGAAGAAAATACTGATATTTTGAGACACAAATCGGGACAGACCGATTTTCGCATTTTCGGAAAGGGGTAACATCATAAAATTTTACGAAAAATCTGAAAAAATCACTTTTTGAGTGTGGTACCCAGTTCGACGGGGAATTTAAATACGAACTCAACAAGATATAACATTCCATGATACGATCATCTTTGGCGGTGTAATGAAGAAAATACTGATATTTTGAGACACAAATCGGGACAGACCGATTTTCGCATTTTCGGAAAGGGGTAACATCATAAAATTTTACGAAAAATCTAAAAAAAAACACTTTTTGAGTGTGGTACCCAGTTCGACGGGGAATTTAAATACGAACTCAACAAGATATAACATTCCATGATACGATCATCTTTGGCGGTGTAATGAAGAAAATACTGATATTTTGAGACACAAATCGGGACAGACCGATTTTCGCATTTTCGGAAAGGGGGTAACATCATAAAATTTTACGAAAAATCTAAAAAAAATCACTTTTTGAGTGTGGTACCCAGTTCGACGGGGAATTTAAATACGAACTCAACAAGATATAACATTCCATGATACGATCATCTTTGGCGGTGTAATGAAGAAAATACTGATATTTTGAGACACAAATCGGGACAGACCGATTTTCGCATTTTCGGAAAGGGGTAACATCATAAAATTTTACGAAAAATCTGAAAAAAATCACTTTTTGAGTGTGGTACCCAGTTCGACGGGGAATTTAAATACGAACTCAACAAGATATAACATTCCATGATACGATCATCTTTGGCGGTGTAATGAAGAAAATACTGATATTTTGAGACACAAATCGGGACAGACCGATTTTCGCATTTTCGGAAAGGGGTAACATCATAAAATTTTACGAAAAATCTGAAAAAAATCATTTTTTGAGTGTGGTACCCAGTTCGACGGGGAATTTAAATACGAACTCAACAAGATATAACATTCCATGATACGATCATCTTTGGCGGTGTAATGAAGAAAATACTGATATTTTGAGACACAAATCGGGACAGACCGATTTTCGCATTTTCGGAAAGGGGTAACATCATAAAATTTTACGAAAAATCTGAAAAAAATCACTTTTTGAGTGTGGTACCCAGTTCGACGGGGAATTTAAATACGAACTCAACAAGATATAACATTCCATGATACGATCATCTTTGGCGGTGTAATGAAGAAAATACTGATATTTTGAGACACAAATCGGGACAGACCGATTTTCGCATTTTTGGAAAGGGGTAACATCATAAAATTTTACGAAAAATCTGAAAAAAAATCACTTTTTGAGTGTGGTACCCAGTTCGACGGGGAATTTAAATACGAACTCAACAAGATATAACATTCCATGATACGATCATCTTTGGCGGTGTAATGAAGAAAATACTGATATTTTGAGACACAAATCGGGACAGACCGATTTTCGCATTTTTGGAAAGGGGTAACATCATAAAATTTTACGAAAAATCTGAAAAAAACACTTTTTGAGTGTGGTACCCAGTTCGACGGGGAATTTAAATACGAACTCAACAAGATATAACATTCCATGATACGATCATCTTTGGCGGTGTAATGAAGAAAATACTGATATTTTGAGACACAAATCGGGACAGACCGATTTTCGCATTTTCGGAAAGGGGTAACATCATAAAATTTTACGAAAAATCTGAAAAAAATCACTTTTTGAGTGTGGTACCCAGTTCGACGGGGAATTTAAATACGAACTCAACAAGATATAACATTCCATGATACGATCATCTTTGGCGGTGTAATGAAGAAAATACTGATATTTTGAGACACAAATCGGGACAGACCGATTTTCGCATTTTTGGAAAGGGGTAACATCATAAAATTTTACGAAAAATCTGAAAAAAAACACTTTTTGAGTGTGGTACCCAGTTCGACGGGGAATTTAAATACGAACTCAACAAGATATAACATTCCATGATACGATCATCTTTGGCGGTGTAATGAAGAAAATACTGATATTTTGAGACACAAATCGGGACAGACCGATTTTCGCATTTTCGGAAAGGGGTAACATCATAAAATTTTACGAAAAATCTGAAAAAAATCACTTTTTGAGTGTGGTACCCAGTTCGACGGGGAATTTAAATACGAACTCAACAAGATATAACATTCCATGATACGATCATCTTTGGCGGTGTAATGAAGAAAATACTGATATTTTGAGACACAAATCGGGACAGTCCGATTTTCGCATTTTCGGAAAGGGGTAACATCATAAAATTTTACGAAAAATCTGAAAAAAATCACTTTTTGAGTG